TCATGGACACATTATCATGATTATTGTTGTAATAAATTACTATTCATATATATTTATACCCATTTGAATCCATGATGATTTTTGTGATGCTCATGCTGCTCATAACCAGGGCGTAGTTTCATGAGATGATGATGATGCTAGTTAGTAGCCCCAATGTTGATAATTATATATCATAAACTATTTTTGCTTCTAATTTGGTTTCAATATGTTGCTCTGGAAAATTACAGTTATCTCTCTCTCTCTCTCTCTCTCTCTCTCTCTTTCTTTCTTTCTTTCTTTCTTTCTTTCTTTCTTTCTTTCTTTCTTTCTTTCTTTCTTTCTTTCTTTCTCTCTTCAATCAATCTTTTCATTTGGAACTTTTTCTTTTTCCTGTCTATCCGCAAGGCTCTTGATAATATCTTGACGATGACATCCTCATCCTGCTCGAGAATCATTCGTCATGAATAAGTAAACACCTCGAAGTTTATTATATTAGCTTTTCCATTTTCATTACAAACTGAAGATTCTCATTTATTTGTCATCAATATGATAGTCAAATTTGATTGTTAAAGAATTGAAAGGAGTGACCTGAAGATAATCGTTGATTACTAATTATTATTAGCAACTTTACTTTATCTTCTATTCTTAATTAAGGTTAGGTTTGTTTGGATAGTCGTTAGTTAATTATAATTTATCAAATCGAAAAGGCGATTGAAACTTTTTTGTCGAAATTTGTTGTGCTGAGAAAATAGTTTTCGAGTTTTATTTTTTTTTGAAATTTTCTCACACACTCTATCATCTTATCTTGAATGATGATGATGAAGATGAAGATGAAGATGAAGATATGGATGACATTAATTTCTTCATGATATCATGGACCATCAAAATAAGATTAAGGTCTAAATCTCTAGTAACGATAATATCGATCCAATGTTTTTTTCTCCTCCATCTCTCATCTTCTTGTTCACTGATGACTGAATCTTTCATCAAGAATGAATCAGATGAAGATGGGGAAAAGGTGATGATGATGATAATGGTTTCAAGTATATACAGAATTTAATCAATAATCTAAAGTTGTAAACTGTAAAATCTAATTTCACCCAATGGGTTAAATGGATCCTTCTCCCTGTGTTAATATAATAATAACAAAACGAATGAGAGAATAAAGTAAAAAAAAAACTTGCAATTTTCATCTCAACTTTATTATCTTCCAAACGATTGTAATCCTATTATGTTCATTAAGATAACTGTTACTTGCTATTTATTCAACTAGTTGGTTGATTAAATTAATTGCAAAGTAAGTTGGATAAGTAACAATTAGAATCAACAATAACAGAGAGATCGAGGTAACTGTGAAAAAGATAATGAAACCAATAATGTCTTTCCTATTGTTCATGTTAAACATTTTTCTCCCTTTCATCTTAATCACCCTGAATTCTGAGTTGAGGAAGCACTGAATTATTTAACTAAATGATAAAGTTATCAGAACCTTCATCGTCAATAATGATAACGATATAAAAACAGTGATCTGAATGAAAATGATAGTGATTATTGTTAAGTTGCCTTTTTAAAAATCTCATCATCTTCATCGTCTCCATCATCATCATTATTACGGTTAACATGATGATGATGATGATAAATCTTGATAATAAATGATAACTAACTTTCACATTCAATTTCATCTTGATTCCTCATCTTCATAATCAACTTGAGTGTCTCTCTAATAACTTTGTGTGAAAGTTTTTCATGAAGATGTAAAGATATGAGAGGATGAAGATTAATAATGATAATTGTGTTTGATGATGTTGATGATTTTGATTAGAGTCAAATTAAATTATGATTTAAATGTGTCGTCACATCGTGATTAGTTTAGTACGTTGACTTTTATATATAAGTTAATTTTTCCACAATCAAAATAAATTGGGTCAAATTAAATGTTTGTGGATCTTAATGATTAAGACAAATCATTTTCCTCAGCATCAACTTTTAAATCAATGTTTATCATCAGCAATTAAGATTCATTTGAAATTATTTTGTTGTATTTATATTTAGTTTTATATGATTATAAATACACTTTCAGCATCGGTATTAGTCTGGACTTTAATTAAGAGCAATTAATAAACCAGTATAATCTTAACCAGTTTTCAATAAGGTGACAATAACCCAAGAATTTAGATGAACAATTAATTGCCGATTAAACTTTGTGCCATATTTTCAATGCTAGAGGATTAAAGTTCAATTCAGGGCTGAAATTACCGATCGATAAACGCTCCCGATTAAATATTATTACGTCCATTGCTAGAGGCTAATTAGTGTCTTTAATTAACTCTTGAAAGTATTTACTATTTTGTTTTAGGATTACCAGTTTATCTGGATTAACTTGATTTTCAAACATTATTGATCCATTGATGAGATTATATTTACAATTTTGATTCTTGATAATTAACAGGTTGGTTATCACAATTAGCAATCCTATGGGTTGCAATTGATATGATATGATCATTAATCACAACCAAATTAGCTAAATTGTTGTATATTTAGTCATTTTAACTGACGTTTGATTGTTTGAATGAAATGATTAAAACCGATCATGATTTTTGCACATTTTAACCATGTTTAACCTACTAAATGAGTTTCCCATATCATTAATTAAATCTTAATCTCTTTTTTTATTACTAATTCATGTTAATCCATTGAGTTTTTTCATTCTCAATTTGTTTATTCATTTCCACCAAGACCCAGGAAAAGTAAATTGAACTTTGTTGAATCGTTGTAATCACTGAATTTTCTCGAGAGCTCATATTCTGTTCAGGGTGAATTCCCTGGAATAGTTTCCATCTCTGCTATTCTATTTAACTCTTTGTATTTAATGACTTCCATCATGATGAAAAGAAAGAATTCTCATCTACCCTGAATAGTTTACTCAATTCTGATGAGCAAAAATCTGATTAAATTCTGATTTTTGTTTATCTGTATTTATCTTGTTCTTCAGGTAACCTTAGATGCTATTCCCACATGATATTATTGATGAATCTCTGAATTGACCTTGATTTTATTCATCGATTGGTTTGTTTACCATGATGCTCATTAATATTATTATTGTTGTTGTTGTTGTTGCTCATGATGAAGATGAAGATGATCAGATTTTTATCATGATGATAAAAAACAAAACCTGTCAGTTTGTCTTTACTTTTATGATCAAATATCGGTGTTATTTTCACAGTGTCTCATTATTATCATGTTATCTTTATTTCCCATGATGAATTGAGTATATTTATTGATAAATTTCATTTCAAACAATGAAATAACAGTAAGAATGAATCGTGACTCACTCTTGATTGACATGGAAATTATTTCATCTCTATTGAATTTTGATTCAACCTTTTCAATCATTCAATTGAAATTTCATAGAGAGATAATTTTTCTGCTTCAATCTATCGCCATGAAATTAATGAGGATTCAATGGTTTTTATAATTTACTTCTTGATTTTTTATTCAATTGAAAATGTTACTCTTTTTAATTGTTTAAAAGCTAACTTTGTTAATAGTAAAAGTCTATTACAATTTAATTTGATTTGTTCACATTCAATAATTTCAAGCTCATGAATAGCTGTTGAACTTTTTTCATTATCATGATATTTGAGTGTTCACGATTGTTTGCAAATTGTTGATTTAAATCATAGATAATTAATTGATTTCTTTTCCTAGACACAACAAGGTTAACAATTGACTCTTTAATTGTTTGATTATTTTGTTATTTTCCTTGTTGATTATTTCCGCAACAATCATCATGGTCACTCATTAAAATTGATGAGATAATATTAAATTGAGGAAATTGTTGATAAACAATTGATTCAATTTTTTATATCAATTTAATATAATTTCCAATATGAAAAAGGTAAAAGTTTTTAGTTTATCACCAAAGGGAGATAATTATTAATACAATTGTCATTGTTAACCTTGAAAATTAAGTTTCTCTTTAAAAGTTCAGAAAGAACTGAACTTTCAATCTCCCACACCAAACTATTGATTTCTTTTGGAAACTAACAGATAATAATAATACCCACTCACCTACTTTAAGATTTATCAGTGAACCGATAACCTTATATAGTAAAGTGATTGTTATTACTTTCTCTTTTTTCAAAGTGATTACTTAAAGTAATCAGAATCAATTCTCAGCGACAGTTATTTTCCCCCTGAAAGGTTAACTATCAACATTTTCCAGAGATTATATTAAATCTTGAAGCCAATATTTCATGTATCATGTTTATCCCATGAATGCTTCATCATCATGATTACCTTTTTTATATTGAATACCAACATCATAACAAATAATTAGATACCAAATATTGGATAAATTGTATCGGTCATCATGATGATGATGAAAACACCTTCAGATTTTTACCTTTATCCTGCTGACCAATCCATTTATTATATACTTTATTTTGAAGGTTATATTAATATAATTATCTCAATAGATTTACAATTAAATCAATTGATGATAGTGATGATTACGATTACATTATGTGTTTACCTTTTTTTTGGTATTATTTTTATTGTTATATTAATAACAATTTAGATTGTGATTATTTGATTTTTAAAATTGCTGATCAACTCAAAACAAATCAACTTTTGTTACCTCAATTGTATTAATATTATTTTACCTTTACCTGTTCATCTATTGAATCTTATCTCTATATTTATATCATCACTTAACCTAATCAGATTGTTGATTGTTCATCATCATGAAGATTAGATGAAAATTTTGTCCACATCATCATCTTTTTTTTTTCATCTATTTACTTTGCACTTTTTCATTGTTATTACCTGTATTATTTTTGGTTATCATTATTATTATTATAATTATTGAATAGCTATTTAAATTGTAGTATTTTTATATCAACAACAATTAATGTGTTAATATAATGTGAACACTATCATTGATTGTATTTTGGATTATCAACAATTTAATTTAATCCTTTTTGTTTATCTTTCTTTGCATTTTATTTTCAATGAATTAGCGATGAAGATGCTTTGTCTATGATAAATGGGACTAATTCTCGGATTGGACTTTTCGGTTCTGGATCATCTTCTTCAGGTTCGGGTTCTTCCTCATCTTCCGGTCACCATGGTTCCGGTCCTGGTGGGATTTTGGGTAATAATCCTTTCCTTAAACTGCCCAATCCAAATACAGCGACAGAGTATAAGAGAGGTTACATCATGAGAAAATGTTGCTTCGATATGAATGGTAAGAAAACACCGTTCGGTAAGAGAGGGTGGAAAATGTTTTACGCTACCCTGCGTGATCTGGTACTATTTTTACACAAGGATGAACAAGGATTCCGTAAAAATCAACTGTACGAATCTTTGAACAATTCAATCAGAATTCATCATGCACTGGCTGCACCAGCGACTGATTATACCAAAAAACAATATGTCTTCAGGCTACAAACAGCTGATCAAAGTGAATACCTTTTTCAAACAAGGTGAGAGTTGTTATCATGTGTGAATATATTATTGACTTTTTCTGGTGATATTTATTCAAGTGAATCAACGTAACAACATTTTAACCCAATTTATAATAATATTTTTTTTCTCTTTCTTTCTTGTCATACTTATTCTGATAATATCCTCATGATGACGATTATTATTCACTTGAATAACAATAACAACAAACGAAATTACCATGAAAATGTTTCCAGTGATGCGCAAGAGCTTCAATCATGGGTCGATACAATTAATTTAGTAGCTGGAACTTTATCAGCTCCTCCGCTTCCATCAGCTGTTGGTTCAAAGTCAAAAAAATTCCAGAAACCATTATTACCAAGTAGCCATACAAAATTTAACACCAAGGAGCAATTAGCTGACCATGAGATGAGGATTCAACGTATTGCTCAGGATCTTGAGGAACATGTTTCAAAGCATCCAGATAAAGGAGCCCAACGACGGATCCTCAATGAATACGCTGAGAAACAAAGTTACCTTGAATACGAGGTAAGTGTGTGGTTTTTTTTCATTCATTCATTTTCCTCAATTAATAGTTTTTGATCATTTTGATGGTGTAAACATCATGAGAAAATCAAATCGTACAAAAATCTATCATTACATTTGTTCAAATTGTTTGTTGAACTTTTTCTGGGTTTGTTTTTCTCTACAAGAAAAACAATTCAATCTTCAAGGATTCTTGTTCTAATATCTTCATCATCATCATCATTAGCTGTCAGCTACCTACTTACAGATTTAATTTAATTCAGTATTTAACTTACAATATTCACACACACTCACAACTCAGTTGGTGATGATGATGATGATGTTTTTTGCATAATTCAAATTGCCTATTTTTTACAGCAAAAAGTAAGCCTTTTACTTTATTCATTGTTGGCTGAAAATGGTGAAAGTTGATTATTGTAATGTAAACAACGGCTTTGTAAATTGTTGTAACAGCTTTCCTTTCCTGTAGTGAAAACAATTGAATGGTGATGTTGAAGAGGATGAGGATGGAGAGGATGAATGAAATTGCTTTTCTCTCTCTCTCTCTCTCTCTCTGCTCACACATCTATTAGTGAAAGGCCAAAAGTCACTTTGAATAGCCTTTATTTTTCACCATCATCATCACCATGATCATTATCATCATCTTGTAGATATAATTTAAGATGATGATGATGGGTGATGAGGATGCTTAAGATGGTAAAAAGGAAAAGATGAGAAAAAAAATATTATTTACTCATTTTACTTAAACTATTATTACAAAATGAACGATTTTTATTGTTACTTAATTGAATACAGCTCATGTTATGTATAAGTTACTTTGTCCATAAACATTCAACTTTAATTGTGAATAATTATGTTAATCATGTAATTGATTATCTATTTACTAAGTTGATTTAATCATTTTGACAGTTATAATTGATATTAAATTGATTAGTTTCCAGGATGAAAATGATCATCAATGTTTACAGTTACCAGTTTTTTGATAGTGTTAAGCATAACAATGATGATGATGATGATGATGATGATGACCAGAGGATGAAGATAAATCTATTAATATCCTTATATTTGAAAGAGAGGGAGAGAAAAAGTCTTTTGTTATTCATCATGATGACAATTAGATAAATACTCTTGTGTTCAGGTGATAAATATAAATTGTTTTTGATAATTAAAGTTCTTGTCCACTACTTATCATCATGTGTATATTATTAATTATATTGGACATGATTATAACGGTAAAAAGATAATAATTTTACCTTGATGATTTTAATCAATCTTACAATACATTTAGTCTTGTTAATATTGTGTCAAATTATCGTTGACTTTTTCCATGATGATCAAGTTAACTACTGAACTTTTTTCCTTGCTTGAAATCCATTATTTTCATCTAACATTGATCATCAATCAACAGAAAAGTGACAATTCATATAAATGATTCAACGACAAATGATTGTACATAAAAGTATATATTCCCAACTAAACAACCAAATCAATTGATAAAATTAACCATTGATTGTACTAATGATTAACTAATCAATTAAATTGTGTCAATCATATCGTAATCAGATTTGTAACAAATGTAATCATTGTTTTATTTATCGTTTTTGTATTCAATATGATTGTGATTATTGAATCCGAATTTTTTTTACAATTTGTTTTAATTGTTTCTAATTGTTTCCTTTTCTCTCTCTTTTTTTTGGTTAATTAGTTGAAACGTTATTCAGCTTATGGCTCAATTTTACGAACCAAATTACAACAAGTCCTTGGGTCAGGGGCACTTCTTGAAGGACCAAGTAAAGTGATGAACTCACTGTCCAGTAAATCGAAACCGTTAACTCAACTATCCATCGGCGAGGAACAGGATATCGACGAGGAAAAGTGGGCTGAAGAGGGTCACGAATATCAAGAACAAGTGATTGTTAAGCCAGTTACACGGTCCCATCGGTAATTGATTGAGATGAATTTTTAACCACAATTTAAATTAAGTTGGTTCCATTATCGTACCAATCAGCCAATCAATATGAAAGTCAAAGTGGTCAATCAATTAGATTTATAATTTTTCTTTCCTTTTCGTTTAAATTGATTTCATTTCTCTTTTTTTTCACCTTAACTATGATTTCTTTTTGCAATCAATTTGTTTCATTTTCATCAAATTTAAAAGACAATCGCAATTAAAGCACAATAATTGTAGCTTAATTATGATCAACTTACATTTTGAGAGATCATATTTAGAATCAAATTTAAATAAAGCTTCTGATGTTCAGACAATTAACTTATTATTTTTTTTTTTTTTCGTTTTTTATGTTTTAATTTAATTGTTTCACTTATAAGGACATTTGATTAATCAACTTTCCTTTTAATTGTTAGATTATGATTCTAATGAAATTTGGTTTATCGCTAAAAATGGTTGGAAATTGTTAATCTGATTCCAACTTAATTCACGTATTTTGAATCTTAATTGTTAATATTTTGATGACTAATTGTTGTTTTTCATTTTCTTTAAAGTGTATCACATAGGAAAGGAATCAGATGAATACAACTGGACAATTAATTTTAATTTGATTAAGACGGAATCTTGATTGTGATTAAAAAGAAAGAAAAAAAAGTTTTATTTCTTTTTTCTAATAAAAATTAATTCTTGATTATTAATTGTAACAATTTTAAGAGTTGTAAAAGTGTAACTGTTGTTTTGTCGCTGGTTGATTAAGTTGGTTAATAAAAAAAACCCAACAATTAACTTAACAGTTAATTCAAATTTAGTCACATTGTTTCATCCAGTGTTAATAAAAAAAAGATTCATAAACTAAATCAACTAATTGTAATCGTTATTTTTTTCGGGTACAATTGTTTGTAGGTTTGTTTTAATGGTGACAATGATGATGTAGGCGAGAGATTTGTTGACAATCAGTTAATTATTGCCAAAATTTATTAATTTGTGGATCATCAAGGGGATTATAAGGTTCATCGGAACGAATTGACTCTTCCATCATATAAGTAACTGTCTCAATTAGAGCAATTAACTGATTGGAACTCATACAAATTTCATCTTCATCTCCATCTTCGTCTTCATCTTCGGCCCCTTCGGCCTCAGCGGTTTCATCGGTTTCATCGGCCTCATTGACCTCGTTTGCCTCACTGGATTCGCTGGACTCACTTGTTTCGTTGGCCTCTTCTTGTTTCACCTCATTTTCCACGTCCTTTTCCACTTCCGCCTCCGCCTCCGCCTCCGTCTCTGCCCTCGCCACCGCCTCTTCCTCGTGCTCTCTTTCAGCCTCCGATCCAACAGCATTACCCTCTGACTCAATTTCTCTTTCACTGTCAGCAACACTATGACCCCCTTCCGATAAACCATTAGCACCACTCATGTCCCCTTGATCAGCGCCATCAATTGATTGATTCGGAGTCGGCGAATCTGGTGAGTCCAATTTCGGACTACCACTACCCATCGAGCTAAAATCATTGGAGGCAAAGGTAGACATTGTCAACGAAAAACAAAAAACAATCAAATTAAGCACAGATAAACTGGTCACAATTAGCGCACAGTTAATTGTTACCTTCATTTTATATCCTGATTAGATTATCAATTCAAGACAATTAACTAAATCACAGATTAAATAATAAATTGATATTTTTTTTTCAAAATCAACCCGACAAAATATTGGCAAAACTATTAATCAAACCCTTTTATACATTTAATTTGATTTTCAATCAAACTAAATCAGTTTATCCTGATTAAATAATTAGTCTCAACAACAATCGTCATGTTTGATCATCAGTTTTAATAATTAATTTGATTACGTATAGTCTAGTTTTTAATGTCTTCCTGTTTGTTGTGAAAACATGAAAACAAAATCGAGTGACTAATAATCATTGACGAAATCGCAGTCCAATCAATTGATTAACACAAAACCGAATTGGGACAATTTGAATTAATTTTTATCGAAATTCTAATTGGACATTATCGTAGTGACATTTTAAATTGCAGATCTTTTTAAAGTCCGTACGAAGAAAAGAACAATTTTCGATTGTTTTGTCATTAAGACGAAATTGATTCTCTCGTTCTTAAAGTCTTGATGTTTTATTTAAAGTTGTGTACAAGCGGTGGCGGAGCGTTTAAAACTCTCACCTTAAATGGTTATGGAAAGTGAGGGTGGAAAATTTTGTTAGAGTGGTGGGAATTGATGGGTAAAAGTAAAATAATTAAAGGTTAGAAAGATATTGTAGGACTGAAGTGTTTCAACTGATCAGCCAGCGTCCGATTTGATTAAGGTGAATGTGAAAGATTATGTCAATTGATTGGTGAAAATTGTGTGACAATAATTAGGGTAACGATTGATCATATTTCATGTTGTAGAATCCAAACCAAATTTGTAAACAAATATTCATGCGGAAAATAATTTAGCTGAGTAACTGGAAGGTCGATTTTATTTGACTGGCCAATGATTGTTGTTTTCTCAATTTTAATTGTTAACGTCAAACAATTATTGTTATCAGATTATTGAGCAATGGATGAGGTCGCTTATTAAGATTCGCTTCCTTGGGTGATTTGAATGAGAGGGTATTCTCAATGGTCTTAAAAGTCCGCAAGTTCGTGAAATAAATAGTATCTCCTTGAGTTCGAGATTGTTAATAATTCTGTAAATACATCGCCATCTATTGCATCTCGAAATAAATTCAACTCGATTTGTCTTTTCGTCTCCATTATTATTATGAATTTGTTATAATCCCTTAATGGTTAAAATTGATTATTATCTTGTTCTTAAATTGTTTTCTTTGATTTCTCTTTTTAGATTTGTGATTGTTTTTGTTTTCTAAAGATTTTCCTTTGACTCGTTAATATCTTTTTTTGATTGAGTTTTTTTTTGTATAATTGGATTTAGATTTAAATAGATCAACAGATGAGTAAACGAACGGAATCATCTAATCAAGAGCAACATCATCATCATGAGAGTTCACAATCTTCAACACCACCACCACCAACACCAATACCAACACCTCCACCTCCACCTCCTCCTCCACCTTCACCAGGATCTCCAGTTCGTCAACCAACGGCTGAAGAATTGGCTGAACAAGAGAGACAAGACAATTTAAGACAATTCAATATTCTCTTGACTCCAGCATTCGCTGCCTTCTCTCAGATCGTTGACAGTCTATTTCTCACTGGAGTGGGTGGAATGAGTATTGATAATTTTCGCAAGAATAAAATCACACATATTATCAATTGTACTCATGAGGCACCAAATTGGAGATTATCGGGAGTTGAATGTCATCGGATTCCTGTGAGTTGATTCTTATGATAATCTCTGTCCTATTTCATCATGTATGTCGAAAATATTTGATTGTAGCCATTCAGAGTACATGATGTATTTTATATTCGTATCACTTGTTGACCTTTTCCTTTCCTTTTCTGGTTGATTGATTATTTTCTATTTGATAATTTGCATTTTACGTTTTCCTTTTTCTTATTAACTTTCAGGAGTTTTAATCATTCATTTTTTGTTTTCTTTTTTTCACTTTTCTCTTTTTCTTTCTCCTTGTTGTCCTTGGCCACTGATGGTTTATTAATGATGGTTAAAAATTGATTCAACTCTTTAAATGTCAACTTTTCCCAAAACTCTTCCATTGTTTAGATTGATGATTCACCTATTGAAGATTTATCTTCACATTTGGATCGTTCAGCTGATAAGATACAATCAATTTTAACTAATGGTGGTAAAGTTGTGGTACATTGTGTGGCTGGTGTTTCCCGTTCAGCAGCAATTGTCATAAGTTATCTGATTAAATATAAAAAGATGTCACTTCATGATGCTTATAATCATGTTCAATCTTGTCGTCGGGTTGTCAGGCCTAATAACGGCTTCTTTAGCCAATTGATTGCTTTTGAGAGCAAAATTTTAGGCTGTACCAGTGTTAAAATGGTTAAGCTCAAGAGAGACGATGTGATGATTGAGGTACCAGATTTTTTTGAAACTGAACATAGAAGATTCGTCCTAATGGAAACATTCAAGGCAAAAGCACACATTTTAAGGCCGTCAATTGATAAACCTGGTCCTAGTCCGGTTGTCCAAGGTCAACATCCGGTATCTGCCGGTGGTAATGTTCCAGTAAAGAGTCTAAAAAAACAATCAGTGACTCATCCACAGCCACATTCTCATTCACCGATTCATTTACATACGTCACCGGGTCACCAATTAGTTCATCCAACCGTTAAACCATTAGGTCAACCATTAGGTCAACCATTAGGTCAACCACAAGGACAGCCTTTAGTTCAACCATTAGCTCAACCTTTAGCTCAATCCTCAACCCATTCAAGTAATTCATCGAACCAATCTTCAAGCCAATCTCCCCCACGGTCGATATCTCGATCACCATTTCGATCACCGATTCGTATACCATCTCGAACATCATCTAAATCGTCTAAATCAAGAGTTCGAACACCATCTTGTTCACATGCTCGAACATTATCTTGTTCACCAACTCGACCTCCGACTCGATCGCCATCTAAGACACCACATCATCATCCACAATCGCAGTCACCATCTCGGCAGGAATCAGAAATACACTCGGAGTCACAATCACAGATACAAACACGACCACAATCACAACCACCATCACAACATTAAATTAAACTTTGTATTCAGTCTCACTAAAAGACATCACACATAAGCTGATTTTCTTTTTCTTCTTCGCATGTTTGTTGTATGTTAACAGGATTAAAGAGAGTTTTAAAATCAAACTGGAAGAAGATCAAAATCATCGATCACTTTAACTAAAGGGACATAACTATCATCTATATTGACCAGTCCAAGGCTTTTAGGATCATAGTAACCATTTTCTTTTCCTTTCCATTCCCAATCAAGCTTTTGAATGGCCTGAAGGGATTCGGCTTCACGTCGTTGTCTTAATAGTGCAGATTCCTTGATCTTTTCCCATTTATCGTCAATATCTTGTAACCATTGAGAAAACAAACGTCCATTGTATCTTGATCTAGAACCATGATTCTCAGAGTTACCTAAGCCCAAATTAAAAAAGAAAAATGCAAAACAATTAAAATCAAACCCATTAATTAACTAGAATACAAGGAAAATAAAAATGAAGATACAAATTTTCTCAAAATTTCAAGAGTAATTATTTTACCTGTAAGGGTATGGAGATCAGTTGAAGAATTACCAGTTGATATTGTGAAAGAAGCTCGGGCATATTCATTGGTACGAGTTGTTGAATTGGTGGAACTTGATGAAGTACCTGTTGCGGAAGATCCACTTGTTAATATATCACCATTAGTTGATTCGGTTTCAGGTTCAATTGTATTATAAATTTCTTCATCTTTCATTATTGTACAAAATGAGAAAGGTTGACTTTGATTAGCCAATGCAAGAGCCGCTCTTGTATGGACCCTTAGAACTTCCTGTTCAGCCGATAATCGTAATTTATCCTTCTCAATCATATGTTGAATTCGTAATTTATGACGAGCCTTTTCCTGTTCAAGAAACAATGAATATAAAGCACTGCCCACTTGGATACTCTTGGGTGGCTGACAAGGAGGTGGTAAGATCGCTGTTCCTGATTTAAATAACATATGACCGGATGGCATTGATGAACTGGAAGAAGATGATGAATTTATAGTTGTTGATGATGGTGTTGTTGTTGTTGTTGTTGTGGTTGATGTCGTAGTTATAGAAGGTGTAATCAATTCTGATGCAGAAGGAATTTTACCTTCTAATAGATAAGATCCCTTATTTAATAGATAATCCTTGAAACCTTGAGGGGGTTTTGGGTGCACAGGTAATAATTGGGTTCTTCTTTTATCAATTTGTTTTCTAATATTAAGATACATATGGTAACAGTTGTAGGAGGGCATTTGGAATTCTTTAGGTGTTGTGTCTTTAGGTTGAGCAGTTGAATTTGAATCAGTTTTATCGGTACCAGTATTATTTACATTCTTAGAAACATTATTATCCGTTCCACCAGAGGCAGAGGAAGAGGTTGACTCATTATCTTCATCTTCACGGTCAACCCTATCACCTGAGTTTCTATTACTATTATTGCCTCCACTTTCATCGTTTCCTCTTCGTAAGGAACTAGAACCAGAAGATGAAACATTTTTAGAGAAATTAGATGAAGATGAGGTTGATGTTGATCCTTTATGACGATGTTTTCTCTTTCGTGATGATGAACTTTCTTTAATTGATTCTTTACTCTCCTTGGAATTGGTTTGAGTATCATTTCCATCTTTACTATTGAAATCACATTTACCTGAGGAATTAAAAACGGAAGAAGGTGAGATAACCTTACGATTGTCTTCACCCTCCTGATTGGATGATGATGAGGTTGTTTCATCTCTGGACTCACAATTTTTATGCTGCTGTTGTTGAGCAGCTCGTTGACTACTTCTGGTCACCCGACCAGAAGAGGAAAAATTTGAGGTTGATGAAGGCTGTTGATTGGATGAAGAGGAAGAAGATGATGATGATGAGGTTGTTGTAGTGGACGATTGTGATGATGAAGATGATGATATTGGTGCAGAATTATTATTACAATTAGTATTTGTTTCATCTCCTTTGTTTTCTTCAGTTGAATTGGAAACAGATGAGGAAGAGACAACATATGATACATTGGAAGATGAGCCATTTGATGATGTAACCTTTTGACTTTCAAAATTAGACGAAGATGTAGATCCATTTCCAGTTAAAGATGACATAACTATCTTTAACGGTGGTACCTTGGGTGCACTGTAACTATGATCTCCTTGATCACTTTTACTACTACTCATAACGCCAGTATTTACCGAGTTACTTGAGACTGGGGTTGATGCCGATGTCGTGGTTACTGGTGATGAGGTTGTACTGGTCGTTGATGTTAAAGTATTGGTTATTGTTGTGGTTGGGGCTGTCACGGTTGTAGTAAGTGTGTTTGTTAAAGTAGATGATGTTGTTACTGTTGCTGAAGTTGTTGTTGTTGCTGATGCTGATGCTACTGTTGTTGCTGGTGTTGTTGTTGTTGTTGTTGTTATGGCTGCTGCTGTTGTGGTTAATGTAGTAATTGCTGTTGTTGGTGGTGTTACTGTTGTGGATGATGAGGTTGAAGGTGTCAATGAAGATGATAAAGCCGCTTGAGGTGGTGATTTTTGCTCACCATCAGCTTCACCAATCTCCATTGTGGTTGGTGGGGTTTTCTGATCGCCATCAGCTTCACTTTTCTTAACATTGGCTGGTAATTTATCTCCATCAGCTTCACCAGTAATCTTCATTGTAGTTGGTTGAGTTGTTGTTATGGTTTTCTTTTCGTCATTACCTTCACTTATCTCCATTGGTGTTACCAAATTTGTTTCCTCACCATCGGTTTCTCCTATTTCCATAGCGGTTGGTAAGCTAATCTGCTTTCCATCAGTTTCATTCACCTCCATTGTGGTTGTTGGCATTTCCCCTTCAATCTAGATCAACAAAGAGACGGAAAAACAACAGACAACACAATCACTAAAGAGTAAAACTAATAAACACTAGGGACAAAATTAACCCAAATGAGTAATAATTATTATACCAATTAAACAATTGTCCCACCGCAAACATAATCCAACAAAAATCATGATAAAATCATCATGATAATAAAAATATTAACAAGATTCGATTAATATTATCAAAAGAATAAACTTTCAAATCGATTTAATTGAATACAAATCGATTGTTAACCAAAAAATTCCAAAAAAGACAGACTATGAAAAGAAAGAGAAAATAATTAGACAGAGAAAAAGAATTTTTATCGATAGAAAATAATCGATTTACGAGCCGCGTTTTCAAATCGATTCTTTCACTTAGATCTTTTCTCTTTTTAGTTAACAAAATAAACTAAGTGTGTCTCTAGTGAACAACAAACAAACAAGAAAATTTTTTTTATTATTGTTTGTTTTTATTAGAAAATAAAATCTTTAATTGTGTTACCTTTTAATTAAACTGTTTCATTTTCACATTTTTAATTATTAATTATTACTAATTAATCACCTCGTTTGTTATCCTTTTCCTGTAAGTAAAAGAATTCAAATTACCTTCCTTTTTGGAATCTTTTGTTGTGGATTGAGAGAATTACAAAGCTTCTCTTTCTCAAAAAATATTCTTTTTCTCTTTATTTCTCTTTCTCTCTCTCTCTTGATAAGCTTTTTTCTCTTTTCTTTTGTTTACCATTTTTGAGGCTTTCTTTTTATCTTCTGATAAATTTCATCTATGATCTAATTTGTTCTGTTTTTGAGAAGTTTATCAATTCAATTCTATTCTTAATTTGTGATTTGACTAATTGTGTTAATTGATTGTGTTCTAATCTTTGGTTTCTTTTGTTTTCTCTTCTCTTCTCCTGTGTCATCATTTTCTTTTTTTTTTCGTCATTAGGGTTAACAATGGTTTTAAAGAACAATTTATTCTACTGCTGATAGAAACAACTGATTCTAATGTCATTGACTGGAAAATTGCGATGTTTAATTTGTGACCATGAGAGAGAAAACTTTATATGTTCTACCTGTATTTGTGAAGGTAATTTTTCATCATCTAAAAAGCAAGAGGTAACTAAATCAGAGACCAAACGGTCAAGTAAACATGGAGGAAAAGCTTCATCATCATCATCGATAACAACAGCAACACCAATTTTGACTAAATTTTCCGAGTTAAAGACCCGATTACGTTTACTAGAGGAAGAATACAAAACCATTAATGACCAGTTTGAAGCTCTTTTGGCTGATAATAAGAGAAAAGAATCTCTTGAACAGGCCATCATTGAACATAACTTGAAAAACATTTCGATTAGAAGATTGATCAGTTTGACTCGTAATCAATTAGCCATTGTTGATGAATGTTCCAGAAAAACTGAACAAATGCTTAACTCATCGGAAAGGAATCACGATAGATCAGCAGATGATATTGAGACATTACGAAGAGCAATTGTCAGAGTACAATATAAACTTGAAAAGGTGAATGCTGAGTTTGAACGAGTTCGAACTGAAGTTGAAGAGGAAACAAAGACTAAATTGTTACAATTGAAGGAAAGAATTTTCCCTTTCTATTGTGAGAAAGTTTGTTTAAATTCAACTGCAACCAATTCAGTTGATGAAACTTTCTCCTCCAAAGAGGGTTCATTGTTTATCTCTGAATCTGAAACTGATTCTTTCTCAACAACATGTTGTCCACCCTCAATGGGTTCATGGGCCAATGTTGAATCAAATTGTCAACGTTATTATATCGTTGAACCTTGGATTCCAAAATGTTCCGTTGCACAGCAATACATTAATTGGATTAATCAAACCCAAGAAGCATGTAAACTCAGTCCAATTGGTGAACCTGATGGTGATGATCAATATATTGTTAAGAACGATGCTTATCGTATCTCTGCTGCTCTTTCCTACATTACTCAACTTTTGGAATTATCTTCATTTGTTACCGATGTTTCATTTCCAAAGCGACTCAATTTTGTTGAATTTCATTCTAAATTCAATGAGGGAACAGAAATTTTTCTCACCGAGGATGAAATACTCCATAAAGTTGCCAAATTGAATATAAATCTAATTCATTTATGCCTTTCACAGAAAGTTGATTGCAAATTATTGGTACCAACCCATACAGGTCAAAATTTGTCCTTTCTTTTTGATCCCAACTATGCCACTTACAACAGAGCTGGACCAGTTTTTGCTGATACGGAATCACATTATCGTTTTGAAGAAGCACTTTATCATGATTATAGTCTTATCGAATCAAATGAAACTGATTACCCTTATTCTGATGATTTTTGGGATGAAGGTGATTGGGAATCAATTACTTCTGCTCAAGCAGTAGCTCCATACGCTGAATTATACGCTTCCCAGCAATCGACCACTAGTATAACCAGTGGAATCATGTCTTCGGCTCTTTATGCTGTTACCTCTCTTATTCGTAAAAAATGAACAAAATCATCTGTTTGATGGTAACTGATTCCATCAACTTAATCACCATTTGCAGTTCAAATAGAATTTACTATTCATTTGAATTAGTTCTCTCTTTTCCCCATTCACTTTCTCTCTCTCTCTCTCTCTCTCTCTCTCTCTCTCTCTGGCCACTCTGGCAGTAATATACAAACATCAATGTAAATTCAAATCTAATCTCCATCAATATTATACAAAGTACGCACGTTTGAAATCAAAAAGGTCAATAATAAATACAGTTATTAACCGAGTTATGTTATATTATTTATGTTTTTCTTTGACTCGTTTTATAACCAGCTAGTAACACAATAACTGAATTTATACTAACATCTTTAGGATTTTGTAACTGACCATGAATATCTACTAAAGACATTCATGTTTGACAGTTAGAATATATCTTGATGATTTTGCACCAATTTGCAGTAGATTAATAAAATCGAAGATAATAAATGAGGTTTAATGTTTCCTTGGACCAAAATTAAACCAATCCACGGCAGTCCAAGCACCAGAAAAGCCTTTCTTATGTTCTGGTAGTTCAGGAGGAACAATACCAGAAGGTTCTGGGAAATCGGCAACCCATTTCGCTGGTTTTGGTCTCTCTGGATCATGAACTCGAACTTGAGAAAAATATCCAAAGGGTGGCTTTTCCATTCCAAGTTTTCGATACATACAAGCATCCCAAATTAACTCTTGGTCACGACATCTAAAAACAAAAGACAGCAAAATAAAAAGAAAAAAATTTAGAATAAATTTGCTTTGATATTGTAAAGGAAAAATAAACAATTCTACCTTGATAGTGATAAAATCTCCGAATGCCATAGAACACAATTAGTAAGAGCTTCCAATTCTTGTTTACAACTATTCTTCACTTTCTGATAGAAATCTTTACCACAGGCAGTTAATCTTTTACCTTCTTCAATACATTTACGTGGATCTTTTTCTTCAACTTTACACAACATGAAATCCTGATTGTCGAGGAAAACAAAAGAAAGGTAAAAAAAAATTAAAAGTCGATAGTAAATTAACAATTTGCATTGGAAAATATATAAAAACAATCACTTACTTTGCTTAATTCATCACAATGTTTACCCAAATAAATTGCTGATGCTCTCATTATGGGAGAACCTAAATTGATCTCATCAGTTTCGAGAGTCTCTAATGGAGGTAAATTGCTATAAAGTGTTTGCTCCATAATTGAATTAATTTAAAAAAAACCAAATCAAAAATTCACAACAATCAATTTGAGAAAAGAATCAAAAACAAAGAATATTTTTGATCTTTTAACCTGAAGAAGTCAATGGTAACCTAGGCAACGGTTTTCGTTTTAGTGAAATTAGTCTTTTGGTCTATTTAAAGAGCAAATGGAAAATTTATTCTTCAACATTGGCATTTAATGTTCGATTAGAAAACATTTATTGTTTATCTTAAAATTGACCATTTTAATTGTTCTCGAGCTGATTGGAAAATCTGGGAAACAGTTTGTTCGCCAATGGGAATATCTTCTGGTTTAGTGGCGACTCTTTGAACAACCGCTGCTGGATCAGCTTCCAAAATAACACCATTGTCACAAATCTCGTCAATAGCCAAGGTGACAACATCCAAATTCTCAAGTAAAGTTCGTTTTTCAACATTTTTTCGTAAAATAGAACTTATTGATTCTACTAGACAATTAAGGATACTTAACAGGAGAAGTGCGTTCTCATCAGGTCCACCAAGAACATAAAAGAAAAGATCAACTGACGAACGGTAAAGAATAGTGTAACCATCCAACATGAGAACCTCTCCATTGGCTCGATGGGTTTTCTTGAATAAGTTTTTCTCAAAAGCTTTTTGTTCCTTTAACGAACTTTCTTTATCATAATATTTGGCCACAACTCGACCACCATCATTATCTAAAATAATGATGCTACAAATTGAGATTAAATTTGGTTCTGGAAGCTAATTTAAAGGTAAGAAAAAAAATGTCAACAATCAACAGAGCAAAAAAAAAGAAAGACAATCAAGTTGATTAACCTAACAAACCACAATTACGACCTTAAATCTTTATCGACTTACCGTGATACCTGATGAATCCATTGGTAAACCGAATTAAATTAATTATAAGCCGAATTAATAACTTAAATCAGTTAATCAAAACAAGAAAAAAAATTTTCTAAATCAACTGATGATGAAGTCGATCTCCAATCAGTGAATCCGAATCCAAATATCGGATACGAAAACGAACTGAGCCAAATTTGATTAACATTCTAATTGTAAAAATTAATTTTCTATCCAAATAATTATCGATTTAATTCAATTATCTTTTCAACTATCAACTCATAATTAGAATCTTGAATAGAATTTCGCAAACACTGTTGACTCGAAAAGAAAATGGAAAAAAAGCAATAACATTAAATGAGAAATTTTTCTAATTGTTATGATTAATTGATTCGATTCTCTATTGATTAGATTGAGGTAAAATGTCTCATTTCATATGAATTGTATTCGCATTTTGATTGAATTGTTTTGATCGTAAATGTGAATTAAATAAAACCAGTTGAATGAATCTATTATTTCTGAATTAATTTTATGATTTTCTTAATCATTTTTATATAGATATTATTTTATAATAATTAACGAAATTATCACAAAACAATTTTCATTTTTTTTTTTGGTAAGACAACAGTTACAATTAAACAATCAGATAGTCAAATATAACAGACCAATCGTTACAAATTGATCGGTATTAAAATTTTTGAATAATTCTCAGTCTTTTCAATTGTACAATTAAATCACATTGACAAAATCTCTCTCTGTATCCTTAATAATTGTTGATTCTCTCTCTCTCTCACACAATTGATGGTGTTAAGGAAGCATAGAAATTAAGTAAATGTGAAGATGTTGTAACAATGTAAAAGGTGATGAAACAAATTATGTTCTTGTTGATTTTCTGATCTTGATTGCAAAGCGGAAAAACGGAAAATAGTAAACAAAATTAGATTGTCAACAAGTTTAAAGCTGATTGATTGCTGTTGATTTGATGTTGGTGTTCATTTCTTATTCGTATTGTCTGATTAAAGATTGGGAGCAATTTTCAAAGTTTTTTTTTCTGATTATTTGAGTTGATGGTTTGTGATTCAGAATAACTGGAGGATATTAAGAATAATTAGTTTACTCTTCCTCCTCCTCTTCTTCTTCCTCTTCCTCTTCTTCCTCCTCTTCTTCTTCTTCCTCTTCTTCTTCTTCTTGTTTAGGAGGAGGTTCGTATCTTGGAGTGGATTTCGGTGGTGATGGTTCAGGAGCTGAGAATGGCTTGAATGTATCCTAAAAGAAATAGAAACATTAACGATAGTTAAATAAATCGAGAGAGAAAAAAATAGATGAGGAAACGATCAAATTTACCATAACATCAAGATCATCAGCGTCATCGTAAGTCCTTGCACCAGGTTCATAACTTTCCTTGTTCTTGGGATTAGATGGGTCCCAGTTCATCAATTTAGGAGATCCTCGTTCTTTGTATTCCTTGATTCGTTCTTCCCATGATTTCTCAAGTTGTTGTTTGTATAATTCTTCCCAACCCTTAAAGAAAACAATTACAACGATTAGAAAACAGTTGATGAGAAAATTAATCTGCATCAAACTTACTCCTTCGAAAAGATCTTTCTTATCTTTGAAGCTTCGTCGATCAACTCGTCTTTCGTATTTACTGGCAACGTTGATCTTTGGTGGATATTTACCAGTGAAAGCCCTGAAATTAGAGTTAAAAATTAAATATTAGAAAATTAAATACAAATAGAAAAAAATAAACATTCAATTGATTTGACTTGTCAAAGTGAAATCTACTTACTCAGGATCTAAGCCTTTCTTCAAAGCCTTATTTCTGTTAATTTGTCGTTGACGTTCATTCAACTCTTTCAACTAATAAATGAAAAGAAGTAGGTTTATAAATAATTTAACATTTACCAAAGTGAAAAGTAATTAATTATGTTTATAGTGGTGAAAAAGAAAAGATAACAAATCTTTAAAAGATACTTACATCATAATCTTGTCTCTTCTGTCTTTCCTCAAGATCGTATTTCTCACTTTCCAAGGTAACAATTTGTTCCCATAATTCACCAGCCTTTTTACGAAGCTCATCAACATCCAAACCTTCAATATTAAGAGCTTTGATTCGTAAGCTAAGAGCAATTCGCTTCTCTTCAGCTAATTGTTCCTTTGTCTTATTCAATTCAGCTCGGGCATACATCACATTGGAAAACTGAACAAACAAAATTGACCATTAGAAAAGTGAACAAATTACCATCGAACAAATCATATTAACCTTGTCATAACCTTGACCAGTGGGTGGTGGGGCAGCTCCTTCCTTCTTGGAGATCACATAATTAGGCTTAACGGCTTCCTTTTGCTTCTGCATGGCCTGCATCATGGCCTGGCGCTTACGCTCAGCCTCTTCCAAACGTTTTCGTTTGGCCTCAACTTCACGAGCTTTTTTCTCTTCCTACCAATCAAATAGAACATTTCAACAGCAAACAAAATGAACAATCAAACAATCAAACAAAGAAAAAGAATAAAATTAATTCAATTAAATCACAAGAACAAAAATTGACCAAACAATTAAAAGGAATAAAAATTAAATTCTATTCGACCAAATGACTAATCGATGGAAAAGATCAAAGATCAGATAGAAAAGTATCAGATCTTTTGGGTTGAATTCTTTTTTTCGATTTTGTTAATTGTTACTGATTGGAACCTAAATTGTTTTCTCTTTCTCGCAATTCATTTTGAATAAACTCTTGTGGTTTATTTAGTTTAACTGAATTGTTTTTCTCCTCATCTTGACTAATTTTAGTCGCTGGTTTTATTTTAGGTTGTGATTGTATCGCTGCCAATTGGTTTAACTGATTGATCTGTTTGTCTCTTTATTCACTTATGGTGTTCCTCTTAATCAACAGTAATATTATTATTGTTTTTTTTGCTCAATTCTCAACTTATTCAAATCACCTAAATTGTTACAATTGGTAACAAATGTTTGACACTATTCTCGACGTATATTTGGTTAACGAAATTGGATATTCTTCAGGTTACTTGTGCTTATGGTGAATATACTTATAGAGTATTTGGAACTGTGTTGAGTCTCATGATGGAGTTTTTCTGTTTTCTTCCTTTGGACTTTTGCTTTTGATTACTTACAATTTCTCGTTGTTTTTGTTCTTCTTGTTTTCGCTTCATTTCGAACATCATCTTTTCTTGTTCAGCTCGTTGAGCTTTTCTCTTGGCTTGTCTTTCCTTTAATTTCAACAGATCCGCCTCTTCCTTGGCTCGTTGTTTCTTCCGTTGCTCTATATACTCCGCCCACATGGATTCTTCTTCCTCCTTCTTCTTTCGGAGTTTCTCCTGATAAATATCCGAATTTGATGATTCCATGAGGATACGATGATTATTGAAAGAAAATGAGAGAGAAAAAAGATCAAATTCAATGTAAGAACGAAAATCGAACTGTATTTCAATCACTGTTGACAAAACGTGAGAAAATGCTTATCACTCATTTTTTATTTATTTCTATTCTTTTTTTTCTCTCTCTTTTTCCATCCATCAACTATTAGTAAAGTGTTAACAAAATCTGAGAAGGTGATACTAATGTAAAGGGAATCCTTCGAATTCAGTTGAAATGTGACCTTCATGGATGGAAATCAAAATTGGCCAAAACCCAGATATAAATAGTTTTCTATTCAAAAAGCTCATCTCTAGATTTTTTTTTCTTAGATTCTCTCCCTCTCTCTTTCTTTTCCTTTCTTCTCATCTTCCCATAGTCTGTGTAACTTGTTGACTAAAAATAATGACACCATGAAATTGAGATCAGGACAAAAACAACAACATCTTAATTCATCAATTTGCTATAATTAGGTTAATAGTGGTAGACAATGAGTTGTGGCGATAAACAAATTCAATCGTAATCAAAACTCACCTCCATTGCCATTTCTGCTTCCGTCATCTTGAAGGATTATCTAAGCTCGTTTCTGAAATCAGAGGGGAAAAAAGAGAAACAAAGTAATAACAAAATTAATTAATTGTTCACAAAGTAAGTTGATAATTTCATATTGACTGTTGTCAAAAAAGTAAATTGTTTCACAAAGTTAATCAAACACTAATATGTCAACAGATTAAAAACAAACAAAATCAAGCAATTGGACACACAAATCATGATTATGGTTAATTGGATTTCCGTTAATTATAAAAAGACACCAATCCTAAGGATCAATTGTATTAATGGACAAGCATCGATTGTGTGAAGGAAACATAAACAAAGAAAGATATGAAACAATCAACAGGTTAATCACTAATTTACACTTTAAAATTGAAATCATTGGATGAAGAGTGAAAATTAACTGGACAACACATTCATTTTTCCATAATTAATAACTAATCAATTGTTTGACCAACCTGTCGATCACAAGCGATAATCAATAATTTGTGGCAAATCAATATACAAACGTAAGAAGAAATCAAAGATTAATGAAAAAGTATTGAGATTGAAAGAAGAAGAAGAAAAGAAAATGAAAAAAAAATTTAAATTCTTACGTTATTTTCTTTTTTGTTGATAGAAAACTTTTTAGGTGAGGATGAGGATGATGAATCTGAATCTTGGAATGAATCTATTCCTATTGGTATATCATGAACTGCGAGGACGCAAGCAAAAACACCCAACGCATACAGATGAGAAACCTCATCCTTCATCCCAAGGAAGGAATCATCATCTTCTCGTCCATATAAGGTACCCTTAAACTCATCATTTTCATCCTTTGACAAGAGTTTTTCTCTCTTTCTCTCACTTTCCTCCTCTTGGAAGATAAGATGATGATAAAGAAAGAAAGAACGAGCGAAAGAGAGACGATTCCTTGCAAGGAATCTGAACAAGGAGCTTGTCAAAGATTCATGAGGCTTGATACAATTAACGAAGAGTCTAAGAAAAGATTGTAAAAGTCATACGAATAGAGAGAGAGAGAGAGATAGAGAGAGAAAAACTCTGAGCGTGAGCTTGTCATCAACTCTTGATTCCCGATAAATATCATCCATGGATATATGGATCATAATAGATAAGAGATGAAGATAAAGATGATAAGAATGAGAATGAAGCGATGAAGATGAGCATAAGGATGATGACTTTATTTGGGATGAGGGAAGATACACCAGATGATAAAGTTTTTGGTTCCTGCGTCTTGGCAGTTTTCATGATAGTAGCAATAGCGATAACTTCATTCTGAGTTTTTCAGATTCATCATCCTCATCAATTCACCTTAAGAGTTTTTTTTTCTAAAATTCAAAAAAATAGGTAAGAGTTTTTTTCCCTTTACAATTTTCTCGAATTTATTTGTTTGTTTTCACTTGTTTATTTCATTCTTCCAATTAGTTTTAATTGTTTGTGTTTCTCTAAGTCCAAAATTGTTTTCCTTCGGTAATCAACAGGTTGGTCAGTAAATTCATCAAACCAAATCAATTTGTTATATTGATTAAAAGTTTCCATCAACTTTCAATCAGATTTAAATTGTTATCTGGTCGATTAATCTTCATGTTATGATAATTGTGCTTTCAACAGTTTAACCATTCATATTACCAATTAGTTTTTCTTTTCAAATTTTTTCTCGAAATTCAATTTAATTTAATTTGTGTTTCGTTTAAAGTTTTTCTTTTTATTCTGTGCCCATATAATTAGATTGCGATCGTTGTTAAATTGTAGACAATTTATTTTTCCTTCCTCAATTAACATTTAATCCTGGAGAAAGAAAAAGTTCTAATCAGTTATTAATCACCATCTTTACGATTTTACTTTTACAATTAACTTGATTAACTTAATCCAATCGCTTATTTTTAATTGTTTGTTAACTTTCACCAGTTAACCCAAAATTGAAGCCAAAAAATTAGTGTAGATTGAAAAAGGTTGGGCTGATCTATTTAAAGTAATTGCTCTAAATATTAGTTTGCCCATGTTCATTTCTTTTTCATGATAATATATCCTTCACTCTGAATTTTCAGATAAACATCTTAGAAATATTTTCATCTTCATCTTAACTGTGAACAATTTATAAATAACGTTTCTTGGGCCAAGTTGTTAATGTTTCCCTATTTATCTCTCAATACTAAAAAGTTTATTTTTCTCTGTTGATTTACTTTTTTTTTCGTTCATATTTTGATTGTTTTGCTTTTTTGTTGATTATTCTAATTTTTCTATTTTATTGTCTCTTTAATTGTGTTTACAGTTTAATCAACTTCGGGTACCAAGATGGCTGAAGATTTAACCAAAGAACAAGTTCAAATGCTTAGAAAAGCATTCGACATGTTTGATCGGGAGAAAAAAGGTTACATCGCTTGTAACATGGTCTCGACTATTTTAAGAACACTTGGTCAAACCTTCGAGGAATCTGATCTCCAACAGTTGATCGAGGAAATTGATGCCGATGGTAATTAACTAATGTACCATTTCCAATTAGCTCACGAATAGTTAATTAATCGATTAACTGTGATCCATTTGTGAGACTCATATATTAGGATAATTTCAATTTATCTTTTCTTTTTCTAACGTTAATTGTGTTTTTGTTTTTTCGTGTTTCTACTTATTCCAGGTAGTGGTCAACTCGAATTCGATGAATTCTTGACCCTTTGTGCTCGATTCTTGATTGAAGAAGATGCTGAAGCCATGCAAGAAGAACTTCGAGAAGCTTTTCGTTTATACGATAAGGAAGGAAATGGTTACATTAAGACTTCCGATTTGAGAGAGATCCTTCGAGCTCTTGATGATAAATTAACTGAAGATGAGCTTGATGAGATGATCGCCGAAATCGATACTGATGGATCAGGAACAGTTGATTTCGATGGTTCGTTTAATTAATCATATTCCTTTTATCTCATTATTCTAATTCTCTTATTTTTCTAACCTTCAGAATTCATGGAAATGATGACCGGAGATTAAATGATACGCTTTTAGATTGGATTGAAATGGAACAAAAGGGAAAAGTAACAATTTAACATCGAACAACAATTTAAACTATTCATTTAAGAACCAATATCTTTGCAGATAATTTACCAATTATTGTAACAATCAAAAGAAGATTACACATTGAATACTTCGTGTTTGTTAAAATCCGAAAATTGCTGCTTAAATAAAACCTTAAAGTTCAGCGACAACAATTTAAAGTGAAAACTTTTTATTCAGTTTACTTGGTGTCAAGAATTTTTTTTTTGACCTTCCATTCAGATTGGTAGTTTAAGTAATTGAATTACAATAATATGAATGAAGAGGATGATTAAGAAGATGTGAACAGAAATGTCGATTGGGTGTTACAATAATAATTTCATCGTAATCATAGTTAATCGAGTTTCTCAAAATTGTAAGTTAATTTTGTTAACTCTTTCGTTTGAATAGCTGATTATTACCAATCAGTTGAATGGGTGTTATTAGTAATAATAATAGTTTATGAATATTAATGAATTATGAAAAAAGCGAAGGATTTGTTTAGCTTGAAAGGTGAAGGCAATAAGAGAGACAAAGGAAGAGAGGAACATGAGATGAAAAAAGACATGATAGATCAAGGCAATGGTTCCTTGTCAAAAAGTGTCTTATTTGAGCTTAGAACTGTTATTTTATCTTCCACAGGACTAGAGGTTCGACTTGGCGATTCGGTCATTGATGAACCTTTACTCGAGGATGAGGATGATGAGGATGTTGCAGATGATGAAGAAGAAGCAAGAGATAGAGATTCATTCAAAGGGAAAACGATAATTCCACTGGCTAAGACGCACAAACCAATCACATAGAAAGTTGTATCATAATCACCAGAGATATCAAATAACCAACCTAAGAGAAAGAGAGATAAAGAAAAATAAGAGAAATTAATTTAAAGAAAACATTAGATAATCAAGAATCAATTGATGATTTAAAACAGCAACAACAACATAGTAATAATAATCTCAAGTAACAAAATCTCGTGAGATAAGTTAATTAAAAGGTAAATTTGATACAAAAATCAGCCAAACAATCAACTTGTGGTTATAAATGGTAATTAAATTGTTGTACCAGCAATTGGAGGTCCCAACATTGTCCCGATTCCTTGAACCAGTAACATTAAACCATAGGCATTGGTGAACTTATCAAGTGAAATTATCTCCACCAAAATAACCGATACCAAGGTGTAATTGGCGCTCACAGAGAACCCATAGAAAGCGGCTAACACGGCAAGAAGATAATAATTGCGAGCCATTGGGATTAGCGCCATTGAAATGCCCCCGAGAGCAGTTAATCCAGAATACCATGTTGAAGGCCTTAACCAGGGTTTATCACCGATATATCCAACGATGATCTATGTAATTGAAAGGAGAGAGACATGGTGAATTAATGACTAATCAATGAATTAAATTGTTAAAAAAATAATAACAAAAAAGACTCATAAACATTGTATTAATTTTGATGTGACAACAATGAAAATTATCAGATGATCGGTAAGTTAATTGTTTGTTTCATAATTGTGATTGTTTTAGACCTGCAATTGTTACAAAATTAGTATTACAATCAAGACACTGATCACTGGTTACTTTTAAATTTCATCAAATTGTTATGAGTTCAGCGAAATTAAAAATTAAATCAACTAAATCAAGTTAAAAGTAACAAGGAAACGTCATTCAAAGCAACAGATCAAAAACTATTTTCATCATAACATCAACTATTTTTAACTTTGATTACATTAATAGTAAATATTTGATCAACTATCACTCAATCATTACAATGGTTACATTTTATTACAACTGAATATTGAATATATCAAGTAGGAAAATGACACAATCAATATTAACCAATATCCTTGACTTTACTGTTATTGAGATATTTTTAGTAATTAAACTTGAAATAAAGTTAATCCAATCAACCAAAGACAATTGAATAATTATCACCAACAAAAACGATAACAATTAAATGTGTATTGTACATTCAAAAACAATATTATTAATATTGGACAATTAAGAAAAACTCAAAGGTAATTAAAGAAAATGATTTGCATGTTTAAACACTTAACAATTAAGTGGTAAAGCAAATAGAGTTTCAAAGTAATCAAATTACATGATTAACTTCCGTTAAGAAAGTAGTGATAATCTTAATTATGAATCAACTTAATTTATGCAACAATGATTAGTAATCAAGAAATAGAGAGAGAGAGAGAGAGAGAGAGAGAGAAATTCCTAATCAATATAATTTTCTAATTACAGTATCAAGTGAATTGAAGGACAATCAATAGATTGTTAAATTAACATATATTATAATCAATAAGGTAAACATATGAGAGTTGTAATTAAGTAATTATAATTATATACGAACAATTATAATTGAAAGATTTATACAAAGTAAAGTTAATTAGTTATGTGCACTAATTGAATGATTACTACGCGATACAATTACAATCAAATGACTAAACATCTATGAGAATAATCAAGTTGATTGTAGAGGAAAATAACAACAATCAACATCTAAAACAAGGATGAAAAGGAAATTAAGAAATGATGATTAGGAAGATGGAAAATTAGATGCTAAATATTAGTTACCAAGGAAACAACCAGGAAGAAGATGGAACCAGGAACAAACTAGATAATCATTCCATAGATTAAACAATATAATGATACTAGTTTTATCTAAAGAGTAACCTAGAAATATCGATCAGGGAGTTTTTTATCAGACTGTAGAATTTTTTTCTACCATTGACTTTAGTGTACAATGTATATGCATTGTACTGGAAAAGAAATGAAGATATTGACCTTGAAAATTTACAGCCGATAGAGAGAGATGACATTGTAGTGATAATTTGTTAGTACATGATAAGTGAAATATCCCAATGATGTAGTGAAAGTGCCAAGGATTTTCAAGGAACCAGATGAGAGGGAGTGAAAATGATGCTGAAGAAGATGGAATGACGATAATCAAGATAAAGTGTGATTATCTTTTTCTAATGATGAATATGATGATGTAAAGAAAATCCTTGTCTTCATCTATCCTCTCATCGTAATCATCATCAAGATTATGAATAAGATTTAAACGTTTCTCTCTCTCTCGCTCTTTATCTCACTTTCCACTATAACAATTACTTTAAATAGCAAAGTCAAGTGAAGGAGTTACCATGTTAATCAATTGTGATGATGATTAATATAAGCACGAGAATTAATTCTTGAAACGATTCAAAGCAAAATCATTCTCATTAACTGAATTTGCCAAAACTTTTTACATCATGACTTTTTCTTTGTCTTCCTATTATAAAGCACGATTAACAAATGATTCGGATTCTGTATTGAATAACCTTGTTTACGTCTCGATAACAATAATAACGGTAATTCATGTTAGAGAAACTTTTCCAGGTTTCAATTTGCGTCTCGAGTTTTTCTTTCATTTCAAGTTATAATTATTACTTTTCAGTTTAATCAATAGATCGAAGCTCAATTTATGAAACTGAAAATTTCTAAATTGAAAACTCGATGTGAACAATAAGTTAATCAAAATTACGATTGTGAAAATTGATACTTTTCCATTGGTATTAAATAAACTACAATTAAGAAAATGTTTGCAATGAAAAAGTCACGGAAAAACGGAAGCTATGTACTCGTTATGATTGTCGTTCCAACGTGAAAATGAAGATGAGCACTTTAGAAACTCGGCTAAATTAACTAATTGAATGTCAATAGATTTGTTGATTGCAGAGAAACACAACAAATGTTTTCACTAAAAGAGGACAATATAAGTTATAAGCAATTAATTAGTTGATTTGAAACTTACTGTTCCAAGAGTATTGGCAATCCCAAGAACTGAGATTAAATAAAAGGCCATTTCTTTGACACAAATACCCGAGGAAATCGCATGATCCGGTAGATAGACATAGGGCACGTCGATGCATCCGTGAAGAAGTAAATTGGAGAAACAAAAGATCGCAAATCTAACATTCTTAAATATCGAAAGATCAACCGAATCAACGATCACTTGTTTAATATCTTGCAGAAAAGATTCTCGCTCTGCTATGGTTACCATTGAATTGGTATAAATATCAGGGGCACTAGATGAACGTAATCGATAACGTCGTACATCACGAAAAACGGCAGTTCGATAAGTTAAACTTGCTCGCTGTAATTTAGATCCAAACCCATCTTTTCCAGTTCCTCCTCCAATATTAACACCACCAATTAAATTGTTTCCGGTTCCAACTTTCAACCGATTAACATTAATCACAGTATTACGGGTTGGTACACTTAATCCCGATTCAGGGTCACCACCAACTCCTCTAAATCGTCGTGGCCTTGATTCACTCGAATCATTTACTTTATAACTATTGACCGTTGAATGGTCATTCTTGTTATGCTTAGAGATGAAGCTTGTTGTTGTTGTTGTTGTTGTTTCAGGAATCGGGATGGGTTGACCTTTAACTTGATCTTTACCAATACAATCATTTTGACCAATAACACCAGAGGAAAGGAAAAGTGACTTTTCTTGATCTCGACTGATTAAGTTTGATAATAAATCGGGATACTTTTGTAATAGTTGATTAAGGTTACCATCTTTACGTCCAGAAATTTCATCTAGAACATCTTTCGATACCGAACTGTCCGTTGTTATATAGGTAGGAATGTTAACAAGAGAAGAGTAATTTTTTAGATCACTTTTGGGTTTGGTTGATGAGTATGATGATTGAAATCGTTGGAAACGACGATTATTTGTTAAATGATGATTACATTGATGATGATGATGATTATGAGCATAAACTTGATGGTGATTACATTGATTATGATGATCAGGTTCGTGGAAGAGTTTGGTTACCTTACAATGAGCCTCATAATTAGATAATTGCTCATCATTAGGTAAAATTGAGCTGGAACAATGAGAATTGATACAAATAGATGAAAGTGGTTTACTTGATGAACTACTACTTTTGGTTGGTGCATTATTATTATTATTTGATGTTAATTTATCGTAATGATGTTCTGATAATCTGTTAGAAAGATGAAATTTTTCTGTATTCGGTGATGATGTTTGATTAAGAGGAAAACTGTTCCTATTATTTACATCGATTGTTGAACATTGAGATCCATTTAAAATTAAATTATTAGCACCACAACCGCTTTTTAAATTGTTCTGTTGAAAACCACAAGAACATCCAATGGTATTATTACAAGTACGACCTAAAGGTTCAATGACACTGTCTTCATCTGAATCAGATTCTTGACCACTAATTGAATCAACTTCGGAAACATTAATGTCTCTCATCAAGGCACCAAAAACAATTATGTTAAGAAAGAAACCGGACATTATGAGAAGTGTTCCTCGCCAAGAAAATTCTTTAAGAAGATAAGTGGTCAATGGGGCAAATAGAAAGGTACCAATACCTGTACCACAAACTGCAAGGCCAGTGGCAAATGAACGCTTGGTATTAAAATAATAGGCTACGATAACGATTGATGTTACGTAAGAAAGTGATAGGCCAATACCGGTTATACTGAATGCAATGAAAAGATGTTCAAGACTACGTGCAAATGAGCCCAAAATGAAACCAGACGCAGATAAAAGGCCACTAACAATGGTCATGGATCGGCAACCATAACGGTCGGTTAAAGCTGAAGCGATTGGCCCGGTTAGGGCAGGCATAGAAAGTAAAAGTGATCCAACCAGGGCAGTTTTACCTTTACTTTGGCCGAAATGTTCTGAAAGGTCCATTTGAAAGAAACCATATGAAAGTGAAACACCATCGGCGATTAAACTAATCATGAACGAAGCGAAAACAACAACCCAACCCCAACCACCATCGGGAGGTGATTGTGGTGGACCACCGCTTCTACTTTTACGGCCACTTTTACTTGATGATTTATTTGATCCACCAGAATCGGATGAAATTAATCGACGGACACATTTGGATGAATTTAAACTTTTACCATTACAAGCACCATAATTGTGATAATTATTGTTATTTGGACAGTAAAAGTGATTACCAGGATTACTAATATTGATGTTGAGTGTATGAGGATGGATATTGTTGATTAGATTATTAGTTACGATTCCGTTTGGGTGTAAACATGTTTCTAATGATTTAGGCGATGAAGATGATGAGTTTACCATTGAATTCAAAGCATCACGATTAACGGTTGAATCGTTATTGTTAATAACTTCATCTTGGTCACTTATTTTCTGTGATAAATTAAACATTGTCAATTTTGATTATATAATAACAAGAAAAAATATTGGATATTGATAAAAATCATTAAATTAAATCAATATTCAAACAAATTATATAAGTAGCTAAACTAAATTCATCATTGATGATGAGAGAGATACACAATATAAATATACAAGTTGATTCTATGGAATGAGAAAAAAAGTGATTGAAAAATAACTAGAAAAACTAGTAACAATTAAATTGTTAATAGTTACGATTTAACAATGATGTTTTCTCTTGCTGATTGATCAAAATATAGCAATTGCAATTTATATTGTTCATGATCATTAAAGCGCTCAAAATAAATTAAAGTAAAGAGCATGATATATTTATGGATTTGAATGAATTTTCTCAATTGTTCATTCACTTGGTGTGTGACGAGAGAGAAACAGTGAGAAAGGGAGTTGAAGAGAGGGAGAGAGAGGGAGGACTATGTAATTATCGTCGTTGACTGATTTAGTCAATTGAGCAGCAAAAGAAAAGGTTGATTGTCACCGAAAGTGAAAACTGATATTAGGATTTCGGGTAAACAAAAGCGAGAGGGAAGATCATCAGTAGGTGAAAAATAGAGAAGGTGAAAGAGGAGGAGGGAAAAAGAAATTAATGGAAAATTAATTAAGGTAAATCACTTTTTTTTGGGGAAAATTACTATATGTATATTGTGAGAATAATTGAGTTTAATTGATCAATGATTTCTAATAATTAGGAAATGATTAGTTACCTTTTCTTTATTTAATCGAGGGAACCTTTTCGATTTGGCAACAAGGTCACTTAGATCATTCTCTGAATGATTGTGCGATTCACTTGGGTTCATTTGATCGAGGCTGTTGATTTGATTATTGCCCTGTTGATGTTGATTGTGTTCCGATTTGTTATCAATCTCATTATGATGATTAACCGTAAGGTTATCATGATTTCCGTTTGTTGTTGAAAGTGAATATAATTCACCGTTGGTGTTTGGGATAATAACAACAGATCGGCTTTCTTTTTGCTGGTTAATCGATTTTCCAATGATAATCCTTTCATTTTCATTTTCATCCTCATCATCATCTTCATCATCACCATCATCTCCTTCATCATCAGGTACATTAATTGTCGCCTGTTTATCACGTTTATCCAATAAAAGACATCGATCAGTTGGACATTTCTCACTACAATCAGTATCACCGTCAACTGAATTTTCCATAATAATTTCAATACTAATCGTGTTAGTAATGAGTTAGAAACTTTAAACAATAAGAATCTTGGATACAATGTATCACAATTAAATAGAAATCTTGATGAAACGTAAATGATACGTATAAAGTTAATGTCCAGTAGTTGATGATGGTAATTAATTGTCGTATTAATTGAAATTTTATCGGTGGTATTGCTTAGATAATTAGTATTCAATATGATCGTTGAGAAAATTTGATCAGCTTGATAAGCACTAATTAATGGTGATGAACTTGGCAAGTCACTGGTAGCCAGTAATTGATTGGATTGGAAAGGTAAACTTAAGTTAAATAATGGTAATTGTTGACAGAGAGTTAATTTGTTAGTGATTATTGGTTCATGTTGTTGTAGTTGTTGTCGCTGAATCTTATTCCTATCACCACGAACCACTGATTTTGCCATAGATTCAATCTCAATAAGACCTCTTTATGATGGCTGGATAAATGTAAATGTTGAATGAAATGATTTTCAAGATGGAGGATTAATATAAAAAGCAGACAGGATTAAACAGGAAAATGTTTGTTCAAAAATTGATTACAGAATTGATGAGTTAGGTTCTTTGTGTTGATCTTTCTTTCTCTCTCTTTCTTTTTTTATGTGTTACATTTCAACACGACACTGACTCTCTCTCTTTCTCTCTTTTTCTTTGAATAGAAAAGAGAAATTATTTAATGACACTTTTAAATAGTGCAAGTAAATCACAGTTAAAGATTGACTATCAGCCACAATTGTAATCGAATGTTGGGTTTTTAGAAAGATTATCTCACTTCTTGTAGTTGCTTCTTGTTGTTTAAATTGTTAGGACGATGGAAAGTGTTGTTGTTGCTGTTGCTATGTGGTAGAAAAAGCCTTCCAATTTGTAGATTGATGGGTGAAAGGAAACAATGTAAACCAAAATAGATTGGCGCAAATTGATTAATGTTGATCAGAAATACAATAGAAATTCACAGAGAGATAGTGATTGAGTGAGAGAGAGAAGCAGCAAAAAAAAATGAATGTCCAATCAGGGGGAGGAGGAGATTATCTCGGCACTTTTAGGCTTGAATTGAGAAATCAATGATTCCTTTTTCGATTCTTGATTCCTTATTGGCTGATTTGTTGCAATTTCCATAAACAGAGGGAAAAAAAGCTCATATAATCTCAGGCAGTCAGAGAATAATAAGAAGATAGGCAATGATGATGATGGAGAAGCTGAATCAGGTAGAAAATATTGAATATTTATCAAAGGAGTAGACAGAAAGGAAAAAGAACCAAAAAAATGATTGAAGATTAGGAGAGAGAAGATCAGGTGAATATGATAGGAAGAATATCACAATATATTAGAAGGAGGAAAAAAGAATGAAAGATGAGAAAGAGAAAAAAGAAAAAGAAAAATAATCGAAGAGAATTCAATTAGTTCTCATGTTTGATGTGAACAGGTAAAGGAATAGCTTGAGAATAACTTGCAATCATGATGGCGATGAATTGAAATGATGAATTTCAAATAGACTGTTGTTGTTGTTGTTTGTTGTTGTTGTTGTATCACCAGAACAGAATAAGAAAAGATAAAGGCAAGCCAACAACAGAAGATGATGATGATGATGAGATGATAATCAGAAGATGAGAAAAAGAGAAAATTAGAAACAAAGGGATAATAATAAGAGACACAGAGAAAAGAATAGAAAATAAGAAGAAGAGAAAATCACAAGATGAAGAGAAATAATAATAATAATATTCTCTTAGAAGAAAATTGTATACATAGTAACCGATTAATGTTTGGTCAGATTTAAATGAAGAGAAAAGAAACCAAATTAACAAGGTAACGAATAGAAACGAGTTAATCACTGATCATTGATCCGAATTTAATCAATCATTTCATGAGAGAGAGAGAGAGAGAGATATTTGATATGAAAAAAAAGAGGAAGAAGGAATCAAATAGGATGTAAATTGAACACAAAGAGAGAAGAAAAAAAAATGAAATTCTATTCTCAAAATGAACTGTTCATGTTTTCTCTGAGTCTGAGAGGAGAAAGAGAAAAATAGAAAGACAAGAGTAGAAAAAGAAAGAGAGAGAAAGAGGAAAACAGTTACGAGCAAAATCATAACACAAAGAAAGAGAAAATTAAAAGAAAGAGTAAAGATTAAGGTAAATTTTAATCTTCTTCTTCTTCTAATTAGTTAATTGTGTTAATCCAATACAATTAATACACCAAATTGTGATTAAAGATGAAAATTAGTCTTGGTGTTTATATAGAAAAACAAATGAAAGGAAACGAAAAGGTAAACATTCAATTTGTTGTTTTCTTTTCTCGAAATTTGGACTCACCTTTTTAATTGTTGATTCTTTTTAATTTTCACTTGAAGTTCTAACACAATTAGATTAAAACACGTTCGACTTTGATTGTTGGTAGTTAATTGTAGTAATTGGCTAATCAAATTTTCATCTGTTCGCTTTTTCCTTGGGCCTTCAAATGATTTGGTTGTTTCTTATTCTTGTTCATCTTATTAGTTTGAGCACTTGGATGAAAGTGATGAGCTTTTCATTTTCCTCTTCTAATTAACTAATTGCTTCTAATTGTTTTTAGCTGATTTATTATTCTATTGGTTGATTATTGGTGACAAGACGGTTTATTCATTTTCTCATTTAGATTTTGATCACCAATTTGTTTAATCATCATTCTCACCTTAACACCCTCTTCAGTTGAGATTAATGTTAATTGTGATTAAAAGTCTATTGATTATCTTTAATTAACTTATTCTCAATCATGATTAACACCAACTCCTTTATCTTGATCATTAATTGTTAATTTTAGTTGTAAAAGTAAGTTAAGAGTTGATTAAGTTAATCCAATTCACTTTTGGATTAAACCATTTTTTTCTAAACGTTGACAATTAACTAGAATTAATTATTTGCTTTTTAAATTGTCAACAATTAATTTACAATTCTAACCATTGATTATACCATCAATTTATTAACTAATCACATAGAGAAATATAAACAATTTGTTTTCATAAGTAAATAGTTAATTGTTTGAAATTCAATTAATTCTTGATTCAAATTAACTTATTTGATTATCGTGATTGAAAATCATTGTTTACAATTTGTTAATTGTCAGGTAATTGAATCTCAGTTTGATTGTTGATGAACAAAATAAATTGTTGTTGATTTTGTTTTCCCTCGCAATTTAATCAATTGTTAACTTTCAATACAATTTATAAATTGTTATTCATTAAACTTTTCATTTCTAATCAAATGATGACATAAATCAAGGATTTAAGTTAATTTAGTTTCTGTTTTGTTATTACAATTAACCAAAAAGTAAAATTAATTTATTTTTCTTAATTGTTGATTGGTTTCTTTTTTTTAATCAACAATTTGTTGATCATTTCAAAACTAAATTGTCATGTTGACAATTGAAAATTATCAATGGTAATCAAAGGGAACAATTAATCAATTTTGATTGTAGGAAAAAAAAAGTGAATTAATTTAATCATTTCTATCAACAATTAACTTGGACTAATTTTTGTCTCGATTATCAATCAAATATTAAATTTCAATAACAATCAATTATTAAAATTAATTATTTCTTCAATAGCTATTCAATTACAATCAAAGGCAATTGAATTCAAACCTTATTAGTTAATTGTTGATCAAGTTATCAATTGTAATCAGCAATTAAATCATTCCCAAGATTTAAAGTTAATTGATTATCTAATGAATGGTTAGTAATTGATCCGATTGTTTCAATTGAATTTTAATTGTTCACCAATTGTGTTATTATGAAAATGTCACAATTTAAAGATCAATTGTTTATTTTTAATTTGAAAATATGGTGACAATTAAATTGTTACATTTAAACACAATTAAGAAGAGTAATTGATTGTGATTCCAATTTAAAATGATTAAGATAATTATCTGATGTTGATGATTTATAAATAGCAACAGATCCTTGGGATTAAATTATTGATCAACAAACTAATTAAGTGTTGACATTGAATTAAATTAAAAGAAGCAACTAAATCAATTGTATGTCAAGGATTATTGTTCAATCCAAGTCATTGCCATTAAATCAAATAATTGATAAATTGTTAATCCAATTGTGTATTGAGCCAGACAATTAAAGTCAATTTGTTGATCACTCACCTAAATACAACAATTAAGGTAACAAATTGAATGTTGCTTAGTCATAATCAAACTAATTGATTTGTTGCAATTGTCAAATTAATCAAATCCAATGTTTCAATTTAATCCGCTTCAATTAGGAATCCAATTGTTGATTAACCAAATTTTTTTTTCTCGGGTAATTAAATCATCTTAATCCAATCGTTGATTATTGTCGCTGGTGAGGATTGATTAATATAAATTTGATTAGAAAATAATGTCTCATTTGATAATTTGATTTACCTTAGATACTTTTGTTTTTTTGTCTGCTTGATTGTTAATTAAGTTAATTGTTTGACTTTTCAATCCAATTATACAAATAAATTGTTAATTGTCATCATTTTCGAGCTGTAATCAGAAAAGCAAAGTCGACAATCAATTAACAATTAAGACAACAATTTGACAGTTTGAATGTTGATCAACTTTCCCTCGGATTTAATAACATAATCAAATCAATTAATTGTGAGATCAATTGTTTTTTTTTTACAACTCTCGAGTCTCCAATGTTAATCCAGTGATTTAATCAGCTTAATTATAAATTATCTCTCCTCAGCTAATGAAAAGCTAAGGAAAAAAAGTTGAAACAATATGTTAAGAATATTGTTTTGAGACAATCAAAAGTTGATTGTTTCTACTCAACCGATTGTAATTTGATTTGATGGTGAATGTGTATTGTGTGTGTGAGTGAGTGTATCCGAATCAGTTAACTGGACAATTAAGCAATCATCAATCGTCAATGTTTTCCTGTAAAATATTTGTAATTTTGTTTAACAATCAACATCAATCATTTTTGAAATAACCAATTGTACTTAGGTTTACATTTAGTGTGTTCCTGGTTGTAATCAGTTGTGATTGTTGGTGTAAATTGTAATCAAATCAGTGTTAAATCAGACCATAAAGACATTGGCGAGATACTTGAAACAACATTGATTGTGAATCTTTGTGTTAATTATGTAGTTTAGATTTGGAAAGAGGAAAATGTGAGAAAGGAAGAGAAAACAAGAAAATTGAAATTATAATATTGTGATAATTGTGATTTAACTAATTACATGGGAAAGATTGGTAGTGGTTGATGAACATTTAGGATTGGCACCATTCTCTTGGGGTTGATTGTGATTTTCTGCCAAACCTTTGGCAAATTTATCGGCAATAAAATGATTTGAGAATGGGTGTGATGAAGGATAAGGATGAATGATAATCTGTTCAGTTCCTGTGGGTAATTTTTGACCATTGGGTAAACAAATTTCTTTCTCTGTTTTCAAATGGGTCATTGTTGGTCTCATGGGTGGTGGTGGTGGTGGTGGAGGTGATGGTAATTCTTGTGGCTCATTATCACCATCCTCATGATAATATTCAGGTTCAGGTGATTTACCACTGGCAAGTAACATCTAGAAAAAAAAATAATGAAAGAGAGGAAAGAGAAAATAATATTAATGTTTATTCATGTGATATCATTATCGTTAATTGAAGCTTACTTCATTTGCACTAAGAGGTATTCTTGGTACTATGACTTGGATTATTTCACTTGAATCTTTGTTACCTGTCTCTTGGAGTGTTTCTCTCTTCTCGAATACTTCTGCTGGTTCATTTGTCGCAATTTCGGAATTAATTAGAGTATCACTTGGTTCTACTTCCATGGCTTCAGTTTCAACCTGTTAAATGGTAAATGAAATAACAACAACAAATTAGAATAATGTTAAAACCATATTTGCGAAGTTTTAATCTGTTAATTGAAATTCATCATTACCTTATCATCAGTTACAGGAACTTGTGAGATATTTTCTTGTTTTAAATTTTCCTCGAAATTTTCATCTGCAACAAGAGTAACAGAACTTTCTGCTTTTTCAACCTTTTCCAATTCATCTTTGGTCTCATTTTCATGCGATTGCTGAATTTCCATTGTAACGGTTTCTTCATGTGGAACTGTATTTTCTTCAGGAGTAACTTTTTCAGTCTCTGGCACTTGTTGAATTTCTTGTTTAATTTCTGATTTTATTTCTTCTCCTTCAATGTCAACAACAGTCACATTTTCTACTGGAGGAGGTGGAGGTGGTGGTGGTTGAACCTGATTCTGAGGTTGAACACCTATGGATTGCATATGTAAATTCATTTGCATTAATAGTTGTTGGTCAGCTGTTGGAATTGAAAGTACATTGTATCCTTGGTGTTGAAACCATGTTGATAAATCTGGTGTTTGATATTCACCAGAAGTACTTATATGATATTGTGCATAATAAGAAGCTGAATGAGGATCTAATCCATAAGCATTCATGTAATAACGATAATACCAATGATAATCGGTGCCAATTGAGTAAACAGGTTGATCTTGTTTCTCTTTAACTGGTGATTCCTCTTCACTTTTAATTGTATCCTTTTTAGTTGATTTCCTAATTTTTCCGATTATTGGTAATTTGGTTAACAATATTTTACTCTTATTCGCAGAGTCACTACTCTTTTTAGCACGAACTTTATCCAATAGCTCTTTGGCAGTCATCTTTTTATTGCTCTCATCAGATGTTGATTTATCACCAGATTCCTTGGTAACAGTTTCTTTTGTATCAGATGTTTCCATTGATTCTGAAGTAGAACTTTCTGAATGTTCAGTTTTTATCTTTGTTTTATCAGTTTCCATTAATTTATCTGATTCGTTTGTTGTTTTCTCATTGTTTTTAGGTTCATCTTTAATCTCGGTCTTTGATGGCATCTCGGATGATGTATGATGTTTCTTTGAGGAATTATAAGTAACAATGGCATCAGTTTTTAATTCGGTTTTAGACTTTTTGTCAACACCTTTTTCCAATTCTTTTTGTTGTTGTTTTTTCAGCTTTTCAAGAACGCGTTTCTCTGAAGGTGACATGTCACTATGTTCATTATGACGAGAATCGGAGTCTTTTTCTGATTTAACAGAAGATGAGGTTAATTTGTTCAGGAGCGACTTAGAATGTGAAGAAGATGAAGATTTTTTTACAGATGATGAGCTTGTTGTTGGTGCTGTTGATGATGATTTACCCGATGATTTTAAAGACTCGTATGAAAATGTTGATATATCAGAAACACTTCTTATATTCACACAGTATTGGATGGATGGTTTTGTTATGGTATATTTGATCAGTGAACATGGATTATCATCACGACCTGAATCTTTTTTTGACGATGATGAAGATGATACCTTAGGTATTGATGATTCTGATTTACGCTTCGATCTGTCACCTTTGTCTTTCTCCCGATCTCGATCTCGGTCTCTTTCTCTATCCTTATCCCTCGCTTTTTCTTTCTCTTTTTCCTTCTCCTTCTCTTTTTCTTTCTCTTTCTCTCTCTTTCTCTTTCTCTTTCTCTTTCTCTTTCTCTTTCTTTCTCTTTCTTTTCTTTCTCTTTCTCTTTCTCTTTTTCTTTTTCTTTCTCTTTCTCTTTCTCCTTTTCCTTATCCTTGTCTTTTTCTCTTTCTTTCTCTTTCTCTTTCTCTTTCTCTTTATCCTTTTCTTCTTCTTTATCCTTATCTCTCTCTTTCTCTCTTTTTCTTTTCTTTCTCTTTCTCTTTCTCTTTCTCTATCTCTCTCTCTTTCTCTTTCTTTCTCCTTCTCTCTCTCTCGTTCTTTCTCCTTTTCTTTTTCCCTCTCTCTCTCTAGTTCTCTTTCTCTTTCTCTCTCTTTTTCTTTTTCTTTTTCTTTTTCTTTCTCTTTCAATTTCTCTTTTTCCTTTTCTCTGTCTTTTTCTTTTTCTCTACCTTTATCTCTCGACTTTTCTCTCTTACTCTTAGATTTTTTTGTTTTAGTCTTTTTAATAGACTTTTTCTTCTTTTTCTTCCTTCGAATACTAGAATCACTTGAATCTGAATCATCACTCGAAGAAGAGTTCTTCTTCCTCCTGGATCGTTTTTTACTTGACTTTTTCTTCTTCTTCTTCTTTTTAACTCGTTCATCATCTGAATCGTCTGAAGATCGGTGACGCTTTCTACTTGATTTATCCTTCTTTTTATCCTTTTCTCTATCCTTATCCCTTGTTTTCTCATCATTGCCATCAGGTTCAGGATCATTACCGTCAACAGCTTCAATGACTATCCAATGGTCTTTGATAAACTCAAACTGTCCAGCCATAGTTGATCAAAATGGTAAACCAATCAACTATCAAAACAAGAGAAGAAAAAAAAAAGAACCAAAAGATTAACCAAACACAGTCACTAAAATACAATCAGAAGAACCCCAGATAATAAACTAGAATCACAGATGATAAGTTAATTAACCAGCAACAAGGAAAATAAAGATACAAAAATTAAAACTCAACAAACAGGCAAAGTAAAATTAACCAGAAAAAAAACAGAAGAGAAAGACAAGAAAAGGGGCGGTTACAATACATAGAAAAATAAAAGCAAAAGAGAAGCAAAAATGAAATATAAGAATCGGCACAAATTAAACTTAGAAACGTAGAAAAGTAAACAAGTTAATTACCTGAATGGAAAATATTAAAATCACCAAGACACAATAGAAAAAGAAAACAACATAAAATAGAATAAAAAGTAAATAAATATTAAAGAAAATCAATAATAACAATCAAGAGAAAATGAATTAAAGGAAAACACAATTAACCACATGGAGACATCGACTTGTCGATAAACACAAAATTCTAGATGTCGCTGTTTAAAATTCTGCCAAAGGAAAATGAAATTCTCGGTGAAAGAGAAAATCTAAACATGTAAACAAATTGGAATAGAAGAAAATGAAAAATCAAAAGAGAAATCAATCAATTGTAGTTAATTGGAAGGAAAAAGAAAACTAATTAATCGGATTCTAAATGGAACAATACAATTTGGTTAACATATGTTTTCGAATGAATTTGAAAAAGGCGCTTATGGGAAATTCTTTTTTCTCTTCTCTCTGATTGGCTTATGTTTAAGATTCGATCCCAGGTGAGTAACCGATTTACTTTTTCTACTTTCGGATCCCATTCTTCCAGCTGATCTACTATCAAACTCGGAGTCTTTGTATTTAATTTTTTTGTTTTTTTCTTTCTCTTTGTCATTTGTGTGTAATAATAATTGTGTAATTTATTTAAATTGCCAATTCTTTTTTATTTTTATTAATCATTTTGTTCACTTTTCTTTTGGATTATATAAGAAAATATCTTCTTCTTCTGTTTGTTTGTTTCTCGGTGTATATTTTTTGGTCTGTGTTAACAAATTATGAAAGAAGATTCAACTGGAGGGCAACCAGATGATGAGAATAATAATAGTAATAAAGAAACAACAACTACAGCAGCAACAAAGGATAAATCAAAGAATAAAAGGAATCGTAATTCTCCATGGAAAATCGATGATACCAAATGGTTTTTCGAAGCTCTATCAGAATTTGGTAAAGATTTTAGTTCCATTCAAACCTATATCGCTGCAAGGGTTGATAAAAAGGTTTCCAATCCACCGGAGCAAGTTAAAAATCGTGAACAGGTTCGCCATTACTATTATCGAACATGGCATAAAATATCAACCGTTTTAACCTTTCCCGATTTTATTGACAAACAAACGCAAGAACTTTATGGTCTAATCAATTTTGGTGAGATTTGGAAAAAATTAGGATCCAAAGGTGAAGCTAAAATTAAGGTTCATCTTAATGAGCTAATTAATACTGGTCAAACAGTTGTCAAGTTTAAAGGAAAAAATCTTAAGATAAAAACTCCCGTTTGTAAAGCGTTAAAAAAGCTACATAAATTAGATGATCATCCATCTTCTTCATCAAATGTTCATAATTTACCCAAAGAGATAACCATTGAATTTCAACCAACCTCAAATGATGCCTGGTTAAGGGTACATTCATTAGCCCAAAATCCAAGGATTAGGATAAGATCACCTTTACAAAAGAGACTCTCCGAGATTATAAGTTACCTGGAAGGAAGATGGTCAACTTTAAGGTATCGAAGTTTAATGATGATTACACATAATCGTAGTTGCTCACCAACAATGGAACTTGAACCAGAGAAACTCCGAGTTTTCATTCACTCATCTTTTCTAGATGATCTCACGGGCATTGTTATTAAAAGAGTCCCATTAAATTTTAATGCTCAAATTGACCTTAGTTTAAGTGCCTACATACATAAATTTCATCAAAATGGTAAAGAGTTACCAGAGAAGAGGAAAAAAAGTGTCTCCAGTTTATCTTCAAGTTCATCAAATAAATCAAAAAACAGTGAAACTGTTACCACCAATGAGGCCAAAGATTCAACAACAACAACTAATCAAAGTAAAGAAAAAGTCAACACTAAAGAAATAGAGAAAGTAATTGACCTAGAAGAGAAATCAATTTTACCACCGATTGCTGAAACAGTACGATCTTTATCAATGTTACAAGATATGTTGGCACTAGCCAATAATGACACAACAAATGATCATGAATCTATTATCACCAGTGGTATATCATCATCAGAGAGTAATAGAAATGAAGAGGAAGTGAATCTCAATGAAAGAACGATTTATATTGATGAATCTTCAAAATCGGAGGGCAAAAACTCAAATACAATTTTACCTCTACCTCCAGCCAATGCAACAATCGGTGAATGGTTAGGAGCTTTCATAGCAAATGGTCACGATGATGATAGTAACAACAATAACAACAACAACAATAATAATAATGATAGTGCAAATGAAGATGTAAACAAAGGTGATCACTTAAAAGACAAAGATAAACAACCATCATCAACCACCACAACAACAACAACAACCATTGAACCTGAAGCTGTTAATCCTGTAATTACATCGGAAGATAAATATCAAACAGTTAATCAAGTTGTCGATATTGATATTTTACGAAATGGTTGGACAAGTGATACAACTGATCTTCTAGTTGGTGAATTATATTTAATGTTAAAAAATCCTGAGAAAATAATTCTTGAATATGATTGGGTTAAAGAAGATAAACAAAAGCAAGAAGATATCAATGATTGTCCATCATCGGTTAAACCAGCATCACAAACACTGACCAATGATAGTATTAAAAGTAGTAAAAATGAATCAACACAAACAGTTTTGGATAAACTAATAACCGTTGCTTCAATAGCCTTATTACACCTAAAGAATCAACAAATTACCGGAGATACAAATCTCGTTCTTTCACCTGTAAAAAGTAAATCTTATTCACGGAAAAACAAACGATTAAAACTGGGCTCACCTCCACCTATTTTACACCATCATCATCATCATCAACATCAACATCAACACCAGCATCAGCATCAGCATCCGCATCCGCAGCAACAACAAACACAAGCATCACCCTCATCTCATCAATCCACTTCACTGTTAACATTATCTTCACCTTCATCATCAATAGTAACGGTCTCACCATCTCTCCATCATCATCATCATCTTCATTCATTAAACTCTTCCACCTCTAATTGTACATCAATCCTTTCACAAGATCATCTAATAGCTGATTCATTAACCTCACCCAATATATTACTTTCCAACTTAATTTCTGATACCATACTTAATGACAATATTTACTCAGAATTAAATAGCACAACAATTAATTTAACCACTTCAAGCGGAGATAAACTTGATAACTTGGAATCTTTAAGTCCACCAAAGATTGACCCATCCCAGTGGTTTAATAATCATCATTCAACTTTCACCTCACCAAATTTCAATAAGACAATAATTAAACAACCAGGAAAACCTGTTCGCTGTAATGATCCAGCTCTCCTACAAGAAGCAATTAAGCAGCTTAATTCAAACAAATTTAACACAAGGAAACAATTGAGAAAACAAACACCCAAACCAACTTATATTGCCAAACCAACAGTTATCAATCGATGCTCACCTAATGTTATCGGTGTTACACTTTCAACACCAGTGGGACAATCAACAACATCTTCAGCCGTTGCAACAGCAAATCAAATAATTAATCATGTTGTTAATTCAGGATCTGTGATTACCTCACAATCAACCGGACAAACAGTACAATTACCAGTGGTCATACCATCATCAGAGGGCAATATTGTTGTTAGTCAAGCTCCAGTCCAACAAAATTACCTGTCAACAAATCCAGATACCTGTTAATCTGCTAATTATTACCAAGAACAATTTTTTAATATGTTGATTAAATTGTTAATTTAACAAGACTCTTATAATCCAAGCAGATTTTGTTTTTGCTCAACAATAGGACAACGTATTATTTACAATTACGAATCAAAAAAATAATCTCCATCATATCAACATGCAAAGATGATATAAACAATCGGATAACAATTAACCAAAGTCAAAATGATCACATGGATTGTCATTAAAATTGTTACATAATCAAAAAAAAACTTTAGTAAAAACAAAAACGACCGGTGGACAAAAATTTAAAAGAACGAGATTGTTTTTCTTATCCTGATGAAAAAACTTGTATTCACAATTATCGATTGACTCTGTTCGCATATGATTTGCAAAATTTTCAAATAGTTAGAGCAACAATTTACTAATTAGCATGTTTAATGATACTCTGATTGTCTCTTTACACATTATACATAAACATACATCTCGAAAACATGTAACATAAACAACAATGAACCACCAATATTGTCAATGTCCTGATGGATACAAACACCCAAACAACCAGAATCCAAATATTATTTTCCTCTTTTACCGTTATCCCAATCATCTTCATCTTCATCCTCCACCTTTATCCCTCTTGTCAATGCCAATTTAGCACCACAACAATTTGGACAATTCAAATTTTTTCATTATTATCACATTTAAAATTAACAATAACTTTGTATAGTTATAGTTGAATAACATGATAACAACACACAAATTAACTGAACCATGTTTTGCTTTTTACTGTCACAATTTATTTCATACCAACAATCAACAAACTAAAACCTTAATTGTAAAATAATTATTATCTCTTTTAACATAATAGTTAATCTTAATTGTTTCAATTTGGATTGGCAATTATAACCTGATTAACCATAACAAAGACGAAAATAAATAAATCAGTTAAAATATAATTCATTGTTTCAACCTCTTAATTGTTACAATTGATTAGCTGCTTATAATTATCTAATTATGATTTATATTACTAAATTGATTAGGAAACTGTAAATAGATTAACTTTGTTAATTGTTATCATACTTTTTTTTTGTTAGTTAATTTTGGTTGTTATTAAGTTTAATTTTTGTAAGTATCAACATTTGGTAACTTTAATTACTTTCTCTTAATTTAATTGGATTTAATTACTAATCATTACCTTGGATTGTTGTTTAATTTAGTTAATCTTTCATTTTCGTGATAATCATAATTTAAATTTTATTATTCGACAATTAATTCCACATCTATGGTTAATTAACTTTGCAGTTAACAATTAGATTGTATTGTAAGTTAATTGTTTGAGGATTAAATTGTTTATCTCTTTGTAATAAGAAGCCAAAGATTAACTTTAAAGTTAATTGTAACTGTTGAATTGATATTTGATTAGTTAATAATCGCTTAATAGTATTCAACTCAATTAAAGATACTATTTGACTATGATTAATGAAAAGTGATTCAAATTACTTGCAACAATTAAGACTTTTGCTTTAAATTGTAAATTAAATTGCCTCAAGATTTTGTTTTAACCTAAAAAACATCACAATTTAAAACAATTAATCAGTTAATTGTAAAACAATTTCGTGAAATTTACAATTTAAATTGTTCATTGTGATTGATTAGCGGTGAAAGTTTTTTAATATCAGCAATTGATTGTTGATCAATGCTTGCAATTAAATCAATGAACTAATTACAATTAACAAAAAGTTTATCAACTAGTTGATTTGATTTTAATAGTTAACTGTAAGTTGATAGCAATCAAATTAATTCAAAATTCATTTCCTCATAAATTATTTAATCAAATTTGTAAGTTGATTCTTAGCAATTGTGATTAAGTTAATTTTGATCGGTAAATGTTAATCTAAATTAAGTTGCAACTCTCAATTAATCAAATAATTTCTTGAGCAATCGATTTTAATTGCTAATTGATTGTAACAATTGATTGTTACCCATTGGTGGAAACAATTGATCAAAGAGTTTAAAGTTTTCCTTCATTAATCACAATTAACTTTAAAATTAATCATCAAAAATAATCGTAATCATCTCAATCTTATTGATTGACTAATAATCAATTTAACTCCTCAAGTTGATTGTTCATCATCATTTTCAACTGGTAACAATCAACAACAATTCATAAATTGCTCAATTGTAAGATCTAAAAATTGATGAAATGATGTCAACTAAATTAACAAATCATTTTAACACATTAACAGTTAATCATTATCATCACTTTATAATCATGATAATGATTTTAAATCACGTTTGAATTAAACAATTTCAATCATTATCAACAAGGATCATGGTAACAATTTAAAACCTCAAATCCTTTTTTTACATAACTAGATTAGTTGATTGTCATTAACGGTTAATAATTTTTTCTTGCTAACTATTAAAATAGCAGACCAGCTTTTAGGTTAATTGTTAAGGTCAATCGTGGTGATTTAAATCATCACCATTACTATTATTGTATGTGAACAAGGAGAAATCAACAATCATAATAATAATAGTAACAAGACAATTAAGGAACAGTGTGTGTAAATTGTGACAATTTGATATGTTTAAACTAATCAATGAACTTTGAGAGCAAAAAATCAAGGGAAAATCTTAATCATAACGAATCATTAGTTAATTGTGACCAAAAAGATTCATTGGAAATCAGAAAAATTCTGGTTCCTTTGTAAATCTAATCTGAAATGTTTGCAGTTCAAATGATTTAGTTTCATGAAGGTGATGTTGTTGTTGTTGTTGTTGTTGAAGGAGGAAGTGGGTATCCATCATGGCGGTGGAAGAGGGTGAAGCTTGGTGAGGGAGGAATAGTCAAGGGTGGGAGTGGGCGAGAATCATAATTAAGCATCTAAATTACAATTTTTTTAAACCAGAATCTCTCAAGTGTAAACAATTATTTCTGCCTCTTCATCGTCATCATTATCATCATCTTCAACATCATCACCAACTTTGACCATGGTTTCTGGTTACAGAAACAACAAAAGCACCATGATCATCATGATCATCATGAATCACATCCTTAATCATCATCCTCTTGCTAATAACAATAAAAAATAATCCATAATAATCATTGATTCTGATAATTCACAGATTCAAGTTTCTTAGTCATTTATTTTTTGTCATCATCATCATCATCTCACACCTTTACCTTTGTTGTTACAAATCATCATGATTACATCAGGATGAGGATGATGTGTGGTGGTGTTGATGATGATGATGATGATAATAATAATAATAAGTATTATCTTGCTTACCTTTATATTGTAACTTTAACCGTCTTTGAATTTACTCAGCTTGAAAATGATCTTGTTTTTTTTTTCACTAAAAATCAACTACAATCATCAACAATTAACTTTTATCAGCGCAAATTATCATGACAATTACAATTGTAATTACTATTAACTATTGTAATTAGTTAACTCTATTGCTACTGGATTAACCTCATAGGGTTAATTTAAATGTCTTCAACCTTGATTCCTGTAAGTTAAGTATTTACAACAATTAATTTCACTTTCTTATATTTCATTCATTTGATTATCACAATTTGATAATATTTAAATGTTTATCATATCTTAATTTAATTGTAAGTGAGGGTGTTGATCATCAGTTGATTGATTTTAATATTGGAAAAATATTGCTCATTGATTAGCGTTAATTGTTGTTGTTGTTGTTGTTGTTGTTGTTGTTAAAGGTTCATAAGGTTAGTGATTATGATTTATGCTGATTGTTGATTGTAACAAAAAATTAATCAACTGTTAATTGTTGTGTATGTGTGAACTTGAAAGTTTCATGTTAATCAGTTTTAAATTGTTTCCTCAGACGGAAGTACAATTAACTTGTAAACTATTACAATTGATGAAGGACAAGAAACAATTAACAATTACAATTAAGGTGAAGAGGAAGAGGAGACTTAATCATTTATGAATAATTTCAATTTAATTTATAATCAACAATTAGTTAATCATGTTACTGTTGATTTCTTGTCAATTTATATTATTAAATTGTATCTGATTGTTAAATTGATTATTAATAAGATCCAAGGTTGAACGAATCGTAAAGTTAATCATAAATTGTTGATTCTTTAAATTATTATTATGATTAAATTTTTTCTTCTTTCAATTGTTTAAATTATTGAATGAAAATTAAGAAAAGTGATTAAAGAATAACCTTAATTAGTGGGAACAATATAGTAAATTATAATTGGTTAAATTCGTGATTTGAATTGATTGTTAATTGTTGTAAAAGTTTTTCCTCTCTTCCTTTTGTTAACAATCAAAATCTCATTGACAGTGAGTCTTTTTTTTTAATTGCTAATCAATAAAATCATTACTAGACAATTAAATTATATAAATTGCTGATTAATTGTGATAATCTAATATCAATAACCTTTGCTGAATTAATTTTCCACTTTCAAACAATTAAGGTAGATCAAGTTAATTGTAACAAATATAAACTTCCGTGAAAATTGATAAACTTTCACTAATCATGATGATAACTAATTGTTACTTAATATAAACAATTAGGATTAAGAGATGATGATGATTATTGATTCAGCTTAATAACAAGTTAAATTAACTTAAACAATTAAGTTAATTGGTGAAAAATGATACACTGGCAATAATTAAATGTAAACAAGGGCAAAGTTAATTAGGATAATGATTAAGATCACTAATATTGGTAATCAATTGTTAATTGGTAAAAGTTAATTTTTGATGAGCTAAAAATTGATCAACAGTTAATTGTAATCATAGATACAGCTCTTAGTTATAAACAGTTAGTTTGAGTAAAATTGAGCAAAACAATCAAGTTGATTGTGACAATTAACTTTCACTTTTATGATGATGAGTCCAGAAGATGAGGAGATGATCAAGATTAGGATGAGGATAAATGGTGACAATTTGGACGATATCCAGATTCCCATGTTAAAGATCATTTGACTTTCTAAAAAAAGTTCATATTAAATTGTAGTTAAATTATTTGTAGGCCTGAGAAAGTGATTAAGATGATTAAGATGATTAGGATTAGGATTAGGATGAAGAGAGAGAGAGAGAGAGAGAAGGAGAAACTTTATCTTAGTATTATTTTCGTTGAAACTTTAAAAGTCCTAAAAGTTAAATTTGATTCTAATTCTGAGTTAACTACGATCGAAAATTTTTTTCTTCAACAATTAACTTTAATTGTTGGATACAAATAGTTAATCATATTTGGTCAACATCTTAACCTTGTCACCGTTCAGTTAACCTTTTATTTTTTCATTTTAACTGATGGAGAGAAAAAAATCAATTACAACGCAACTTAATCAGGGTTGATGATTAGTTAATTGTTACCTGTTCAATTAGATTAACTGTTAAATCAATTGCGATAATGATTAGGATTAAGATGATGGAAGATAAATCTTTCATCGGGAGAAATGAATTTTTCTTTCATTTAAAGGCGTGTTTACTTTTCTTTTTCAATTCTATTTCTGAAAAAGATAACAATTGTCTCTCTCTCTCTCTCTTTATCTCTATCATCCTCATCATCACCAACATCACCCTCATCATCATCATCACTTCTCTCTCTCTCTTTCTCTCTCTCTCTCTCTCTCTCTCTCTTTCTCTGTCTAAATTCATCACAAAATGTTACCCTAAAAATGTCTTAATCTTTATCCATTTCCATCTCTCCCTCTTGGCCAGTTAACTGTTTATTTCCTCTCTCACACTCTCCTCTCTCCCTCGTCATCATCCCTCCTCCACACACCAGCTCACTCGTCTTTTCTCTCTCTCTTTTTTCCTTTTTTTCTGCCAAACTCGTGTTCTAACCAGAAGCATTTTCCTCTTCACCATTACACGCGTTGTTCGCGTTAACATCTCATTCTAATTTGGAATCTCAAGTCTTTCTTTCTCTTCCCTTGTTATTTAATCTTCTCTTTCTTTTCCAAATGTTTTGTCTCTCTCATTATCTTTGTCTTCCTCTTCCTATTGATTGACACACTCTCTCTCAAATATACAAATATACATATACAAAGACTCTCACTCTCTCCAAAGGTGATGAGAATTAATTCTATTCTCAGTTGTATCTCTCATCTTATCCATTGATTTTCTTCATCATCTCTTTGGTTATTGTCAAAATTTCTGGGTTACCGGTTGTTCCTGGTATATGCGCCTACCAGAGTTTCATTCATCTTCTTCTTCTCTTTCTTTCTCTTCCTTTTTCTCTCTCTCTCTCTCACTCTCTTGGTTTTCTCTTCTTCTTCTTCTCTCTCTCTCCTCCTCCTCCTCCTTCTTCAACCTTTATGTGCATTTGTTTACATTTCTCTCATTTTTAGCTTGGAAGATCAAAGAGAGAGGTTAAGGTTTCTCTCTCTTTCTATTTTGTAAATTCTAATTTAAATCATCATCATCATCATCTACCTGTGTCTTAATCTCTTTCTGATAATCAATCCAGTTAATTTCCTTTCTTAATCCATGTGTCCATCAACATATCCACCCACATAATCAACATTATCATCATTTTAATACAATTTACCTTTAGCATTTTATTATCATTCTTAATTTTAACCAACTTGATCATCTTAACATAGATTATAAATATCACCTTGACAGTGATATTTTCTTGTAAATGATAGTTTTATTGTCATTATAATCATCAAATTGTTGCCTGTCAGTTAATTACCATGGAAACATTGCTAATTAACTATGAAAATGCCATTTCTCCAACTAATAAATGTTCATCATCATCTTCATCATCAGTATCAACCTTGATTCCTGAGCCATTAATTGGTGTTGGCTCTTCAACCAGTGTAAATCTGGTCTCTGGTTCAACCACAACAATCAACACCAACAACAACAACAATCAAAATCAAAATAAATACAATCTAACCAATGATAATCAATCAAATGAAAAGGTAACATCATTAAGCTCAAATTGTATCAATTCAAATTCAAATGGTTACAATTTACTTAAGAAAAGTGTCTCATTAACATTAAATTCAAGTGAACATGATGATAATCAACAAAGTGCCATTATTACAAGTGAATCATCATCATCATCATCAACAACATCAATTAAAAGTTTCATCAACAACAACAACAATTTAACCCGAAACACTAACAATGGATTAAGTAGTTATCGGGGTTGTTACAGTGCTACAAATACACCAATTAAATCAATAAATTGTGGACAATTATTCAACGATTATCCCAGTGATCTATTATCATCTTGTCCATCAGTAAGGTTGTCATCACCATCATCATCTCCACCTCCACCACCACCACCAAGATCAACAAAAGAAAAACAAATCACTGAGATTAACGATTATACACCAACCATGGTTTCTGAACATTTATCAATAGTTTCACCTTCATCTTGCTATCAAAGTGACCATGATGTTGACAGTGGACCCAAAAGTTTACCTGCTTATCCATCAACCTTATTGTCACCAACAAATTCAACATCATCTTCATCTTCATCTAATATGATGACCAAATGGGATAGAGAATCACTTTATTCTGGATCAGGATCAATTGATGATGGATTATTAACCCAAAATGGTTCAATTGTTTGGGATAGAGAATCAGATTGGATTTTATTATTCGATGAGATGTTGAAATTAAAAGGAACCAATAGACAAGGATCAGAAGATTGTATCTGTCGGCGAAAATATTCCGATTCTCTCAGAATGAAAGGTAAGAACTGACCACTTATTCTTGACCATTCATTCATTTATTTTGACAATCACAAGCAAAGAATAAGAAAGATTAAGTTAATGGTCAATCAATTGATTATTATCTTGACCTTAACTCTGTTAATTCTGTTGTTGATTTGCTTTTGTCCGAGAGTAACAATCACTTGACCATTACCTTGATAACTTGTTTTCTGTAATTTTCATCATGATTGTTGAATTTTTTTTTTCTCTATTTATTTCACAACAATTAAGTTTTTCTTTTGGGTTAATTGTTTGTGTTTTTTTCCCTGTGAGACTAATTAATTGTTTACCTATTTTTTTCTTTACATTTTTCCATGAAAAAGTTCATTGAAAATGTTAATTCAACTTAACAATTATCTCTCTCTCTCTCTCTCTCTCTCTCTCTCTGACTCTAATCAACTGAGATTTACAACCGATTTCAACTGTTTCAATGTGAATTAGTGAGTGTGTGTGTGTGTGTGTTTTAATTACAATTATCATTCACAGATTGTAATGATTAAGCAACACTTTATTGTAATGAAAGTATTCAATCGTTAATTAATCATCATCAGCACAATTTGTGTGATACTTTTATTAGATGAGCTTTTTTTTGTTGATTTTATTATTTGCTTACTGATTTTTATAACCTAAGATTAACTTGAAAAGTCAATTGCATTACAATTAAGGTAAAATAATGATGATGATAGTTGATAATTGACAACAATTAACCGTTGGAATAGATTTAACAAAACCAGATCAACTAATCAGTGTAACTAAACAGCGGGAAAATTAATAGTCAACATCATTAAATTACCGCTGAAAATTGTGACTGTCGCACCAAAGGATCACGATTAACTTTAATCTAGATTCTTAATTATCAAAACAATAACAGTAACGATGATGATGATGAAGGATCCTTAATGATGATGATGATGATTGTCATATCATTATAATAATAATAATCATCATCATAATCTGTTCAGTCCAATGAATCAAAGTCTCAGTTGATTGTTGATAGACAAGAAAAATCTTTATTCAAATATACACTTTTAAAACTAATCATGATTAAAGATTCAGTGTTCATATTGATTATTATTCAGACATGATGATGATGATGATGGTGATGAAAACTACTCATGAATGATGATAATGATGATAAACGGAAGAGAGTGAAATGTTGTCATATTATGAATATAAAATATATCAAAAAGTTTGATTACTTTTGTTTACCATCAAATTTATCAATGAAAATACACACAAATGGGAATCATTTGAACATCATCATCATTATGATTAACTGATTGTTGTTATTTTTGCTTGATTATGATAGATGTATATTGTTGTTTAGGTATATAGATGATTTAACCATGCGGAACTGGTTACTCCATTTTTTTTTGTTTGTATCATCATCATTATGATTATCATTATTACCTGTAATCAAAAAAATATAAACAATATAATTTTTGACAATCATTTGATTCTGAAAAATTAAAGGTAAAAATAACATTTTTTTCACCAATGTTGTTTTCTTGATTCATTCATATCTCTCAATCAGATTGTTAATTAACTTGTTGTTATTATTATTGATGATGATGATGATGATGATTTCTCATCAATAATCATCGTTATCAATTTTGTGTACTAATAATAGTAAACCAAGTGAATGAAATGAAAACACCCGTTGATTGTGTTGGTCAATAGTCTCTATTAATCAGTAAATTGTGGTTGATTTAATGGCAAGTTAACAAGGGAAAATATATTTGGAGCGAGAAAAAGATGATCAAGATGATGGAGATGAGGATGAGGATGATAAGGATGATGGACTCTTCTCTCTCTCTCTCTCTCCATCATCTCACCTTTGGATGATTTTACTTGTATTTGAAACATTTAGAAACAAAAGAAACGGTTTGATTGTTACAAGATAATCAATCTAATTGTTGATAATATTCATCAAACAACTAACTTATTGACCTACCATGTTAACCTAAATTGTATGATGATAATATTACAATCAATTACTAAGTAATTATCTTATCCTATTATCTAATTATGTTATCACATAGTCTTACTATTAATAAATTGTCAAGTAATTATAGTTAATTGTGAGTGGGTTTACCTTGATTTTTGCTTCACAACGAATCAGTTTTTCCAATAACATTTTTCATTTATTCATTTCTCCTTCTGTTAATTGTTATACTAATCAACTAATCAACTAATCAATTGTTTTCCTCGTTAATTATGCAGTTTTAATTTAGCAATATAATTAAATCAGTTAATATCATAATCCAAGAAAATTAAAACTGGATAAACTTTAACCTGATTTTTTTTTTGATTGAATCAGATTTTTTTTTCTGGTTCCTTTGATTGTTGTTGATTGTTAACACGATTAACTGTTGACAATAATTTTAAAATGTAAGTTATGATTAACTAACTACAATTATAATCATGTTAATCATAACTGTTACTTTTTTCACTTCCCTATTATTCAATCAAAATAATCACAATCAACTTTCAACAAGTTATTTAGTTAATTGTTGGTTGAAACTAAATTAGTGACTAATTTTTTTTTCATTCATCTCAACAATTTAGTTACCATTATTGTTTTATTACTTGTAGATGATTACATTTAATTCATTTGATTGTCAACAATTTAAATTGTTGGGCGTTTGATTAGTTATATAAATTATATTGTTCCTTAAATGTTGGATTAACACTTAATCATAATGATTTAAACTGCACCTAAGTTATAATTTTTACTAACTATTAATACAATTAGAGTTAATTTAATTGTAACAATTTGTTACTGATTTAGTGTCAAAGTTAATTGTTACTTTAATTTTGAGCCCCTTTCACTTTAATAGCAATACAATTGATTGTTATTGATTATATTTGTAGTTAGAGATTTAATTTCATTGATGATCAGACTGATTATGATCTTGATAATCATAATTGTGGTGATTTAGTAATTGTAATTAGCAATTTAAATCATTTTCTGTTTCCTTGATTCTTGTAGATATTTATTCATCATTTAACTAATCATCAGTTAATTGTTGTGATTCTTGTTGTTGTTGATTCAAATTGTGATTAACATTGAATTTGATTATGATTATTTCATGAGTATTATGTTAATTGTTGAAAGCTCATTTTTAATTCACTCTTAATTGTGATTGAACTTATTTCGTTGACAAGGTTACCTAATTTACTTGATGATTGCAAACTAAATTTTTTTTTGTATTTTCTCATGTTGATTGTTGATTAGTGATTCAAGCAATTAACTAAACTTTTAAAATGATAACCTTGATATAATTGCTTAACATGATTTAAATCAGCAACAATTTACAAATTGTTACTCCATGTTGAGAGTTAAATTGTAAAAAAAAAATCTATCCCATGTTAATATACATAAATGATTTTGATTAACAATCAATTGATCATTTGATTAATCGTGACTAATTTACATGATTAAGATGATCTTTATCAACCTACACTTAATATTAATCTACAATTACAATTAATGTGATTAAGGAAACATTATTGACAGTGATTAAGATGAACAATTAAGATTATAAATTGATCTAATTTTCATATAAATTTTTTGATTACATGAAGATGATTAAGTTAATTAGGTTTTTACCCTTTCCAATGTGTGGGTATCAATATAATCATTAGTGATTCTTTTGATACAATTTACTTTTAATCTTGGTGTTAATTTTTTCATTTATCTGACAATTAAAATTAATTCATTTCATGTCTACTAATTGTGATGTTATAGACGATGATTAGTTGACAATTAAACTTTCAATTTAATTGTTTGTCTGTATAAGTCAAACTTTCAATCGTCGAGAAGCAAAAAACTTTTGATTTAAATGACAACAATTAACTTTACTTTCTTTTCATTGTAAACAATTAGTATTGACATTTAACTAACAGGACTATAAAGGAGATATATATTTTTATAATTACAATTAACTTCCTACAATTAACAATCAATTAACTACTAAATTGAACAGTTTTAAGATTACAATTTTGAAATTGTTAACTGAAAAAAACTTTTTCAAGGTTTTCCCTTGAAAACTTAATCACAACAATCAATTTGTTAATTGTTGATCGTCTAGTGATAAACTTTGATCCAGTTAATTGTGATAAATTGTTTTCCAACTATAAATAACCTGAAAATCATCAATAATTTAGTAATAATAATCATATTGATCATGATTGGGGGAACAACAATTAACTAATTGTTAAAGGATTTATATTTTTATGTTGATCAAGATAACAAATATTAATATCTTTGGGATAGAGATGAGAAATTGATTGTAGTGATTAAAATAAATTGTTACCATTATCTCACTAATTGTTACTTATTGTCTTTAAATACAATTTAGCTAAATTGTTATTACTTTGATATTAACAATCAAAAATTGATTGTCTATTATTAGTAACATTTAACCTTTAAGTTATTATCACCATCACAATGATAATGATTTAAATTGAGGTTCAATCAAGTGATTAAAATTGAATCTAAATTGTTGTACCTCTGATTTTATTGTTAACTTGAGTGTTGATTAAATTGTCCAATAGATTAACGTATTGATTTAGTTAATCCTTTGTCAATGGAAGCAAAAAAAAAATCATCAATCACAACCTGAAAATCATATGAATGATAATCAGTTGATTGTTAACAATTTAATTCATAGAAACCACAATCGAGTTGATTCTGTGACTATTAGTGATGAGTTAAATTGTTATACTCTAAATTTAGCAAATCAAATCAATAAATTGTTACCTTGAAAGTGATTTACGAGATGAACAATTAAGGAATCTGAATGATGAAACCAAATCTTATTCCTTGATTGTTGTTAGTCACGTAATCTTATTGTTCATGTTCAGATTGTTAATCAGAATCAATTTCACAATCAAGTTAAATAGTCTAGACGATCCAGAGATATTTAATCAATATGTTAATCATTTGAAGTAAAACAAATCAAATCAATTTCACAT